AGTGACTGACCCAGATTGGGTCTTGCAATATTAATAACTGTCCCAAATGTGCTTTTTCAGGAGGCAACTGGACTCTCTTATTTTTTTTTCTTTGAAGATGTTTCGCTTCTCATCTAAGAAGCTTCTTCAGTTCTGACTGGACGGTGGGGAATGGAAGGATTTATACTCCTTGCAGACAGCTGGTCATTTGCATCCTTTTAGAGAGTCATTGAGGCCACTTGGAGGTTTATCTGTGTCCTCAGGGTCACCTGAGTCGTGCAAATGGGCGTGGAGCCTTCTTGGCTGCAGGATGTCTACTGCCCTGTGTCTGTTCTGCCCCAGCTACGGACCCCAAAGAACGCAGCACACACAAAGTCTATACAAAGCTTATTTTACTCAAATAACTCAGTCTTTTTCAAACAAAGGCTGTTAATAAACTTTCTTAACAGCCTACAAGAATCCTAAGATAAGGTAATCACAGTCTTACTATAGTTGGCAGAAAGCCCAGAAGCTATAGTTGTTCCCTACAGCTTGCTTCAATCGGCATTCCTCCTTAAATAGGCTAAGGTGGTGGCCAATTAGCCCCAAGCCTTACTCTCGAGGAGACCTCCTACTAAGGAACCACTCCTGCCTTTTGGCAGCTCTGCATGCCCCTGCATTGAGAAGAGGCTCCTCCTCTTCGTCCTCTTCACTTAAAGGAGCTTCTGGAGGTTCTGAAGCCCCTGGCTGAATCCCTGCCTCTGGCACCACATCTTCTCCAGCCTCCTCACTGTCCGACTCGAGCGCCAGCTGCACAGGCTGCTGGCGCAGCACCACACCAGCCTCCTCGCTGTCGGAATCAACTACAATCTGCACAGGCCGCTGACGGGCCACAACAGTGTCCCTTCACTGTTGGGAGACAGGTGCAAGGTTATTGGGGATGAGTCTGTGTTGTCTGCATCTCAAACTGAAGAGCAAATGGTTCCTATAGTCTGCAGTTTTTCTGGAAATCCGTTCAATCCCGCCCGCACCATTCGAAGGGTATTCATCTGAAAGTGCATAGCTAAAAGTCTATGGAGATTCTCAGTCATCCAGATCTTGGTTGTCCCAAGGGTGTTTTTTCAGGAGGCACCTGAAAAAGCATCTTTGGGATAACCATGACCTGGATGACTGAGAATCTCCATAGATCATTAAGAACTGTCTTGCTTAGCAACAGAAATTGGGGGCTCAATTATGGCCGTAAATCAAGGACTACCTGTACTTAGTTTCATGAGATAGTTGACTCCTCAGCTGACGAAGATGTCAAACCATGGCCCCTCCCTTTGATTCATACAAGCAGTATCCTATTAAAAGGTAGAGGTTCCCTTCGCACATACGTGCTAGTCGTTCCAGACTCTAGGGGGCGGTGCTCATCTCCATTTCAAAGCCGAAGAGCCAGTGCTGTCCAAAGACGTCTCCGTGGTCATATGGCCGGCATGACTAAACGCCAAAGGTGCACGGAACGCTGTTACCTTTCCACCAAAGGTGGTCCCTATTTTTCTACTTGCATTTTTTACGTGCTTTCGAACTGCTAGGTTGGCAGAAACTGGGACAAGTAACGAGAGCTCACCAGTGGTGGGTTTCAAAATTTTTTACTATTGGTTCTGTGGGTGTGGCTTGTTGGGCGTGGCATGGCTTGGTGGGCATGGCAGGGAAAGGATACTGTAAAATCTCCATTCCCACCTTACTCCAGGGGAAGGATACTGTAAAATCCCTATTTCCTCCCGATCAGCTGGGACTCGGGAGGCAGAGAATAGATTGGGGCAGGGCCAGTCAGAGGTGGTATTTACTGGTTCTCCGAACTTCTCAAAATTTCCGCTACCAGTTCTCCAGAATTGGTCAGAACCTGCTGAAACCCACTTCTGGAGCTCACCCCGTTACGCGGCACTAGGGATTCGAACCACTGAACTGCCAACCTTTAGATCGACAAATTCAGCGTCTTAGCCACTGAGCCACCGTGTCCCGTAGTATCCTATTCCACTATGTCTATTTGTGAAGGCAGCTTTCTTTAGCTGTTCTCAGAATAGAGAAGCCTCTTTCAAAGCATGCTGCTTGTGAATGCTGCTTTTCACAGTTCTGGTAGGTAACCAAATGCCCTGAAAGCAAAAGTGATACTTACAGGAATCCTGGAAATTCTGTTGAAGGTTTGGCCAAGACATCCATATGTTTCTCAAATAGAGAAGGAAAGCGAACAGGAATTAACCATTCTGTCTTTCTGCAATATCCATATAATTTTAACTGCATAAAGTATTGTTTCATTCCTATTAGCAAGACAATGTACTCTGCAAGGAAACTTATTCCTAAATAAATACATGTGCTGAATGAAAGGAATCAGTGGCATTTCAAAAACTCCGGGTGCCTCTTATTTTAATTGCCCGTTTGGCCCAAATAATTCATTGAACAACACTTTCTGTATTTTTTTTTATAAGTAACCATCTCCTGCCTAGGAGTGTCTATGAAGATTCTCAGTCATCCAGGTCAGGGATGAGTTTCACTTACCTTTGCTACAGGTTTGCTCACGCGCACGAGCGAATTTGATGTCATCCAGGTGGGCGGGTGGAGCCTCCCGCCATCGCTGCTACTGATTCACCTGAACCGGGGCGAACCAGTAGCAACCCACCACTGATCGACGTTATGGTTGTCCCAAAGGTGCTTTTTCAAAAAGCTACTGGACTTTGTTTTTCCTTGAAGACATTTCGCTTCTCGTCCCAGAAGCTTCTTCAGTTCTGGAGAACTGAAGAAACCGAAAAAACTTCTTGGAGAACCGAAGAAGCTTCTTGGAGGAGAAGCGAAACGTCTTCAAGGAAAAACAAAGCCCAGTTGCCTTTTGAAAAAAAGGACCTGTGGGACATCCTGCCTAAGAGGGTATCTCGGTGCTCTTAACTTTTTTTTATTATTATTTGCAAGGGACAATTAGTTCAAATAAGACAAACAGAGATCATTTTCTTACCGTAGATTTTACCACTTTCCATCCTTCTGTATCTTGGAGATAGAAAAGAACTTTTGCAGAGACCTCTTCAGCTGTTTTCTTATAATCCATCTAACTGGGAAGTTATGAAAGCAATGCGTGTATCAATGGCATGGGATATCCCAGCAGCAGCACAGAAAAATAGGACATTTTCTCGCCAGTTTTTCCTTCAAAGGACTTCTATTCAAAGTTTTTAAGCAAGGGTGCAATAGCGCACGTGCACACACACACACAATAGCACCCACACCCACTCATTAAACCGGGGCAGGCTTCTTCAACTTGATGCCCTCTAGAGCAGAGGTCTCCAACCTTGGCAACTTTAAGACTTGTGGACTTCAATTCCCGGAGTTGTAATCTCAACATAGCTGAAGTGTGCCAGTTTGAACACTATTGTGAATTCACCCCAAAACCACTTCCTAATATTCTTTCACCATTTCCACCCGATTGTGTCCTACTTTCAGGAAATGCTTGTAATACAAGCTACTTCAAATCTCTGTTGGCTTTATAATCCCTAAATATCTTTGTGAATCAAGCTGTAATAATCCCTTTAAAAAGTTAGTTCCCTCCCGAGTCTTACATTATATTGTTTTCTTGACTGAAGCATGAAGTGGTTTGCTACAGACTTCTCTTTGATCATCTGGTCCACTGTCCGGGGATTTTCTTAAACCCCACTTTGATTTTTTTTTTTTTAAAGCAGTGCATAGAAATACTTGAGTAGGATCAGAATGGATGGGAGACCACTAGGAAGACCTCAGACTCTAAGGATATCCGAGAACAGGGAAAGGTTTTTTCCCTGACAAACTGCCATCAAATGTCAGTCATCCAGGTCATGGTTGTCCCAAAGGTGCTATTTCAAGAGGCAACTGGGACTTTCCAGTTTTTCTTTGAATTTATTTATTTTATTTATTTTATTTATTTATTTTTTAATTAATTTTTATATGCCGCCCTTCTCCGGAGATTCAGGGCGGCTTACAATGCGTTAAGCAATAGCCTTCATACTTTTGTATATTTCATACAAAGTCAGCTTATTGCCCCCACAAACCGGGTCCTCATTTTACCCACCTTAGAAAGGATGGAAGGCTGAGTCGACCTTGAGCCTGGTGAGAATTGAACTCGCAGTAATTGCAGGCAGCTGGATGTTAAATGCTGCCTTAGTAGGAGGCATTAGCCTCCTACGCCACTCAGGCTCCTCCTTTGAAGATGTTTCGCTTCTCTTTTTTTTTAAAAAAATATACTTTTATTAGTTTATAATATAACATAGAAAGAGAATACAAAAGCAAATATTAGGGAAATTAGGGAGGGGAAAGTGAATAGTGGGGGAAAGAAAGGGAAAAGAAAAACAAAAGGCATTGACTTCCGACTCCTTTGGTGCAGTTGAATAAGGCATTAAGATCAACTTTTTTCATAATAATAGAAACTAGCAATTTCTGTCACAACAAAGAAGACGTTTTTGACTGGACGGTGGGAGAATGGAAGGATTTATATATTCCTTGCAGACAGCTGGTCCTGTCAGAGCTGAAGAAGCTTCTTGGATGAGAAGCGAAACGTCTTCAAAGAAAAACCAGAAAGTGCGGTTGCCTCTTTGAAAAAAGCACCTTTGGGACTGCCATCCAATGGTTTTTCCAGGACAAACTGCCATCAATTTTATTTCTTTGAAAGAAGTGCCAATTGTCTTGTGCGAGTTTCCTGACACTGCTGCTGCTGCTGCTGCCTTCCAGATGTGCCGGGATCCCCCTCTTGGCTTGGACAAAAGGGACCGAACCGAAGGCATTAAAAGTCCCATTAAAAGATATAATAACCACCATGGTGCCTAATGGTACCTGTCCTCACCTCCGGGCATCTCTCGCCGCCTTCGCCTCCCCGGCTGCCAGCTGTAACTGCGAAATCCCAGCAGTAGAGGGCGGTGTGGCTGGCCGGCATTGTGATGCCTTCGGCCCCGAGGCCTGCTGGGAGTTGTGGTTCCGGGATCCCGTGCTTGGAGCTTCGCTTTGAACCAATGGATGCGCGGGATGGACGGAGCATGCGCCTTGGAGTGCCAGCCGACGCCATTGGCATGGAGGGGCTGAGGCGTTTTCAAACCGGCGGGCGGGAGAGCGAAGAGGAGATGCAGGTGAGATCGTGAGGGAGAGCGGTTGGATTTCTTTCACACGGCCCGGAGGAGAGAATTAAGCTGGCCTCTGAAACTGCCGAAATTCCTGCCCTCAGTTCTAAAAACAATAAAGCCTGTGAGATTGTCCTCCTGCTTGAGTGGGGGGGGGGGGGGGGGGGGGGGGGGGGGACTAGATGACCTCCAAGGTCCCTTCCAGCTCATTCATTCTATTCTGGTTTTTTTAATTTTTTTTTTAATTTTTTTTTTATTATTATTATTTTATTTATTTATTTATTTATTTATTTATTATTTTGTCAAGCACGTATTAGCATAAACATAAACGTAATTTGAATATGTGGAATGGATACGAATAAAAGGGAACATTAGTTGTACTGATTAGTTCTACTGATTGTCATATTATTATTATATTATTATGTTGTATTATTTATTAGAATAGAATAGAATTTTTTTATTGGCCAAGCGTGGTTGGACACACAAGGAATCTTTTCTTTGGTGCATAGGCTCTCTGCGGACATAAAAGAAAGGATACGGTTCATCGAGAATCATGAAATGGAAATATGAACTATAAAATGAATGCTATAATATAATATGTGAAAATAATTTCTTTTGGAATGATAATGCCATTGTTAGATAAATGACAAACGAGGATAATGATACAAAGATATATATTAGATTGATAATAAGAGAAATTTAGATAATTAGTAAAATATGAATATGGGGACGAAGCACAAAGGATTTGTAACCGATCGACACACTGTTTGTAATTGTTAATGGAAGATGGATTTTTTTTACGTTTTGTTTGTTTAAAAATAAAAAAAAAATTCAAAAAAAAAAAAGAAACAATGGATGGAAACTAAACAAAGAGAGAAGCAGCCTGGAATTAAGGAGAAACTTCCTAACAGGGAGGACAATTAACCAGAGGAACAGCTTGCCACCAGAAATCGTGAGACTTCTGGATGTTTTTAAGAAGAGACTGGACAGTCACTTATCTGAAACAGTATATAGGTTCTCCTGCTTGAGCAGGGGGCTGGACTAGAAGACCTCCAAGGTCCCTTACAACTATTCTATTCTACAAAAGAGGAAATAAATGCTTTTTTTAAAAAATGCAAAAAAAAAAAAAGAATCATAAGGTACAACACTTAATGATAGTCATAGGGTACAAATAAGCAATCAGGAAACAATATCAATATAAATTGTAAGGATACAAGCAACAAAGTTACAGTCATACAGTCATAAGTGGAAGGAGATGGGTGGTGGGAACGATGAGAAGATTAATAGTAGTGCAGACTTAGTAAATAGTTTGACAGTGTTGACGGAATTATATTATATTATATTATTATTATTAATATTATAATGATCAGTAGAAGATTAGATTTGTACAGGTAGTCCTCGACTTACAGCAGCTCACTTAGTGATCGGATTAGAGCGGCACTGAAAAAAGTAATTTAGGACCATTTTTCACACTTATGACCATTGCAGCATCCCCAATATCAAGGGGTCTCCAACCTTGGCAACTTTAAGACTTGTGGATTTCAACTCCCAGAAGTTCCTCAGCCAGCAAAGCTGTCTTAAAGTTCCCAAGGCTGGAGACCCGTGTCCAGGATCATGCGATTTACATTCAGATGCTTGGCAACTGATTCACATTTATGACCGTCGCAGTGTCCCGGCATCACCTGATCCCCCCTCCTTTTTTTTTTTTTTGCAAACTTCTGACAAGCAAAATCAAAGGGGGAAACCAGATTCGCTTAGCAGCCGGGTTAATAATTTAACAACTGGAGTGATTCACTTAACAATGGTGGCAAGAAAAGTCGTAAAACGGGCATAAAACTCGTTTGACAAATTTCTCGCTTAGCAACATACAATTTGTATGGTTCAATTGTGGTCATAAGTTGAGGACTGCCTATATATGTTCTGAGATGTAACTTCATGTGGCTTCTGGATCTAGTAGCCCAGGCAACCCCCCCCCCCCCCCATAGGCTTTATGATTTTAGGTTATTTTCTGGTAAATGGAAGTAAATTGATGGTTTAGGCATGAAGTTTGTCTTAGGGGCATGGCAGAAACATAATATTAACTACGAACAGTTGGTAGTTAATATGTTTCTGCCATGCCCCTAAGACAAGCTTCATGCCTAAACCATCAATTTACTTCCATTTACCAGAAAATAACCTAAAATCTGTTATCTCAAGGGTTCTTATTCAGGATTTAATTCAGCAGTTGAATTGGATGGATGTTCAGACATGCATAATATTAGACGGTTGTGACTTTGTCTTGTCACTTTCAATTGCAAAAAGCAGCTTTGCTTGCAACAGCTTACATCCTGCATCTATACCTCTAACACCAGCAAACATCAACATCTGGGAAGGACTTGATAGGTGGACAAAAATGCCAACTTCAGTCTGAACATCTGGCTGGCTATACAAAGGACCATAATATTTTTATTTTTTTAAGTCCCTTGGATGCAATTCCAAAACAACTGGGGCACCATTTGAACACAGTTGGTATCTTTAACACCATTAAACAACAGCATCTGCCTATCCAGGGTCCCTGGGAAGGACTTGATCGGTGGATAAAAATATTAAATCCAGTCTAAACATTTGTCTGACTATGCCACAATCTTTTTAATTATTGATTGAAATTATTTTAAATAATAAAATAATTTAAATTATTATTAATGCAGTTAATTGAAATAATAATTTAAGTTATTGAATAATTTATGGCTAAAAATTGCTAGCAACCAGCCTTCTATTGAGGACCTATATACTGCACAAGGCAAAAAGAGGGCTGTGAAAATATTTATAGACCCCTCACATCCTGGACATAAACTGTTTCAACTCCTACCCTCAAAACAACGCTATAGAGCACTGCATACCAGAACAATTAGACACAAGGACAGTTTTTTCCTGAATGTCATCACTCTTTAAAACAAATAATTCCTTCAACACTGTCAAACTAATTACTAAGTCTGCACTACTATTAATCTTCTCATTGTTCCCACCACCCATCTCCTTCCACTTATGACTGTATGACTGTAACTTTGTTGCTTATATCCTTATGATTTATATTGATGTTGTTTACTGATTGCTTATTTGTACCCTATGGCTATCATTAAGTGTTGTACCTTATGATTCTTGATTACCATATCTTTTCTTTTATGTACAATGAGCGCTTATGCACCGAAGACAAATTCCTTTTGTGTCCAATCACACTTGGCCAATAAAAAAAATTCATTCTATTCTATTCTATTCTATTCTATTCTATTCTATTCTATTCTATTCTATTCTATTCTATTCTATTCTATTCTATTCTATTCTATTCTAAAAAAAGATGGTACCAATAATAATAGATGCCTTTAAGTTTTTCCAAGTAAAGCTGCCTTTTGCAAGTGACAGATGGGGATTTTGTGAATGCAGATGATTTTCAACTGGTGCCCCAAATATTTTGGAATTGCAAAAGGCAGCTTTATTTGGAACAACTTGCATCCTGCAATAATACCTTTAACACCATCAAATGAAAACATATGCCTGTCTCAAGTCCTTCCCGGAGTCAAGTGGATAAAGCGAGTCTAAATATCTGGCTGACTGCGATGAACTATAATAAGAGATTACTGGGTTGAGGTGCTAATTATAGCTCCTGTATGATGTAAATCACAATTGACTGGTTTCACACAATACAGTATGCCATACATTACATTTTGCAAGCCATAATGCCTGGATAAACACAAAATGCTAAACTAGCAAACTTAGAAACCAGAAAACACTTTTTGCAGTTCAATTTAGCAAAAATATTATTTTGGTTTTCAGTCATTATCTGTATAGTATACCTACAGCCTTATAAAACTACTACAGTCAATATAACTTATAAATGAAATAATTTAAACAGAATACCTCCTCTTTGGGGGGCGGGGTGTTAAATGTGAAAATCAAGGCAGATTTGAAAATGTATTATTGTGTCTCAGGGTGACACTCAAAAGCTGTATTTTTATTTTTATTTTTTTGCTTATTGACAGCTCTTGAAAGCTTCAGGAGAAGTTGCAAAAGGCCCCTGAATGAAAAGTAATGTCCTGCTTGGTTAAAAAAAGCAATATCTGTTCTCCAGAAACAACTGTGTCATCTCTTCTAGCAAGTGGTAACTTTAAGAGTGGCCATGACTCCTTGAGTCACAGTTCAGTCCAATACAAGGACAAATTGTATAGTTCTGCCTCTCAAGCTCTAGAGGCCTATATTAAAGATTTCAATCTCAGTCTTTCATCGCCAGGCGTCAGAACTGGAAAAATTGAAATTCTTCCGAGGGCTCCTGAAAACTTCAAGTTCTCAAAGGACGATTTTGTGGCCAAGAGTGGTATGTGTGTATATTTCCTTTCCAGTAATGTGTGTGGGGAGAAATCTATATTAGAGGTCACCCTGAAAATACCGTATTTTTCGGAGTATAAGACGCACCTTTTCCCCCCTAAAAGGGAGTGAAAATTTAGGTGCGTCTTATACACTGAATGTAGCCCTGCCCACCCACTGTCCCCCCCAGCCCCCTTTGGCCTCTACGTCCCAGCAGCTTACCTCCTTGCAAGCAAACAGCAAGAAAAAACAGCTCATTTCAGCTTCAGCACAGCCTAATTAGCACAAGCTGATTGGATCGGTGTCCTGACTCTCAGCTGTTTTGTTCTCAGCTGTTTTGCGCGGGCCTCTGCTGCTTGCTGCAAGGAGGTAAATTGCTGGAGCAGATTTTTTTTTCTCGTGCTAATCAAGCTATGCTGAAAATGAAAATGAAAGTAAAGCAGGCTGTTTGCTGCAATGAGACAAAATTGCTGGGCGGCAGAGGCAGATTTCCTTTTCTTGTTTTCCTCACCAAAAACGATAGGTGCGTCTTATAGTCCGGAGCATCTTATACTCCAAAAAATACAGTAACATCCAAATGTCAAGCTAATATATATTTCTTATTTATTCATTTATTTCTTAAATGTATTTATTTATTAAATTTGTATGGTACCCATCTCTCTATAACCAACACACAATTTCCTGTGTTCCTTATACAAGTTTGATGTTATTTGTATTCCCTGTGTTATGTATATTTGTGGTTTTTTTTAATATGAGTTGGTGATACATTTCATGGAGAATATAAATGAAAGCTAAGCCCATGTAGTTGATGACTTCACCTTCTTTCTCTCCTCCTCCTTCTCCTCCTCTTCTTTGCCTTGATTTTCTAGAAGTATCTAATGTTATTTGGATTCCCTATCTTGTAGTGCATTTGTGTTTTTCAATATGAGTTGGTGATATGTTTTATGGAAGTAAATAAAAGCTAACCCATGTAGTTGATACAGTAATCCATTCATATTATTATTGTTAGCCATTATTATTATTACATTCATATATTGTCTGTATTTTGTAGAAATGAAAGTGATGAACATTATGCCTTAGCTTCTTTTTTCCTCAAGAAACAACCCTAATGAGAGTGGTTGGGCTAAGAATGAATCATTACCTCAAAGTCATCCAGCCCGCAATATAACTTGAAATGCTGGACACTAATTTGTCTTTGCATATTTATGTTACTTATGTGATGAAACAGTCAAAATAGTGTCTTTGTATGCAGGTAGGACAGGTAAAAGTATTTGACAAAAAACATATGTCTATCAAGAAAACTTAGAACTTCAGTTAGCAACAGCCAGTGGCTGATAAATCATCATTATATCCTAAAATGATCCCTATAGGTCCCGAAACCAGTTTTAACAGCTGTCCCAAACATTGCAATATCAGCAAATCTCCCAAGATTTCAGCATTGTCATATGAAATTTTAGATTGAGGTAATGAAAATCTTCAAAAATTTCAGACTTTAAAAAACGTGGTGCCCAGACCATCATTTGATAGTACCCATGGTCTGAAAAAATAGCTCATTACTTAATGAAAAAGTGTCTTTTAATCTAGAAATGAGACTCAACATTAGAAGGAAAAGATGGTACAGAATATTCTGTTGGCTGGCTGACAAGAATGATTACGAGTAACTTTTGAAATATTTCCTTTCTTGGGACTTATAGATTAAGTCAAATTATGTCTCTTCTTGTTTTAGAAAATGTCAAGCAGCATACACGTCTGGAAAGAAGAATTGTTTATGAGCCAGATATAGCCAGTCTGACTACAGATGATCTTTTAGCATTTCCTGCAGATGGTTCCCCATCTTTCAGGATTTCTAGGTCATCAGCTCAGAGAAGCAATGTGAACAGGAGGTCCTGGACGACATCTGCTTCTTGTTCTCATCACTGGACTTCGTCCTTCCACGATAAAGAAAAAGAAAATTCTTGGAAACATTCCTTGCTTCCCTCCTCATACCATGAAGGTAGCAGAAAAAAAGGTACACGATATAAATTTCAAAAACATCATTCTGTGCTGCCTGGGAATGACCAGCTTGCCAGCCGAGAGACCGTACTTCATAAGAATTATCCAAGATGGCTGACAAGCCATAAAACCGAGTTGAGCATTTCAGACATAAGCAGTATTCCTGAATCCAAGTATCCCATCTGGCTGAAGAATCATAATCTCTTACTGGATTCAAGTGAAAATTCTACACAGACCTCACACCTGTCTTTGCAAGATAATCGGGAGTTGATGGCATTTCAAAATATTAAAAGACATAATGATGTGGTGAGCCTAAAGCACGAGTGTGATACTCAATCAAATCACCCCAAAGATTCTCTAAGTGCCTGTTTTCTACTGCAGGGCTTAAGAGAGCACAAGGATCCTCTTATAGGTAATCCATAATACTTTGTCAACTTTGGGAAATGTGGCACAATTAGTGATTCAGTTCAGATACCGTGAAGAACCATGCTTCATTTAGCAGTGATTTAATGAATAAAGTGCAATTCTTTATTTCAATTCCCAGAATTCTTCATGGGTTGGGCCTGGTTAGGGATTTCTGGAAGTTGAAATCCACTGATCTTAAAATTGCCAAGGCTGTGAATAGCAATAGCACTTAGACTTATATACTGCCCCACAGTGCTTTACAGCACACTCTGTCAGCATATTGCCCCCAACAATCTGGGTCCTCATTTTACTGATTTCAGAAGGATGGAAGGCTGAGTAAACCGTGATCAAATTCCAGGCTGTGGGCAAAGTTTGCTTGCGATACCGCATTCTAATCATTGTTCCTGAGGGCTCCTAACCCTGCTTTAGGCACTCGTATTTATTTGAAAGAATATGCAATATGTACCTTATGTATCATATGTGACTCTTTAATTGTGACATAATTATTTTAGATGACACAGAGAAACTGATTCAGAAAGCAAGGAGGGCACTGGAACCTTCTGCTGAGGAGTCAACTAGTCTCCTGAAAAATGACGGCAGTCCTTGTACCGTGGATGTGCTAGAAGCAGAAAGATTGTGGGATAATGTTCCAATTGGTTTGTGAGTATACGAGAACCCCATTAAGATTTTTTATGGATACACAGAGTGGGACTCTTCAGCAATAGCTTGAGGAATACCAGCTTCTCCAATCTACCTGAATGTCATAAAATGATGGTATTTGTACAAGAAACCTAAGAAGACCCCTGCTAGACCCTGTCGTAATGGTGAAGCCAGATTCTTCATGAGTTTGTCCACTCCCCTTTGAAAGTCATCTCTTTCACAGGTGCATCTGTAGTTTAACTGAATGCTCTCTAGCTCTCCTGACTCCTCAACCACTTAGCTTCCTCAGCTGACTCCAGATCATTGTATTAAGAAAGGAACACAGAGTTCCAGATTCACTTCTCCTTAGTAGCTTGAGAAGCTACCAAATGGCAAGTGGCATCCATAGAACTCTGTTACCCACACTGGCTTATTATCCCCCAAGGGACAAATAATTTTCCTTGAAGATTTTTGGCCCTTTTCTCTATGTCAAGAGCCAAGCCTGCTTATGTGCTCATAAACTGATTATTCCTTTTGTGCTTACTACATTCTCCACGGGATTCTCTCTTACAGCATACAATGCATACAATGCTTTTGGAAGGTCAAGGGTGACTTGAGTAATGGCCAGGAACTGTGTGAAACGTGTGGGCAGGGCTGTGTTTGAGGAAGGCTGCTGTATCTTCCTTGAAAATGTGATTTATTTACTTTAGGAACGTATGTTCTACTCTCATTTAATGCACAGGGAAATAGCTGTCAATATTCACGGTTACAAGACAACAAAAAAGTTGGGAAACACAGAGTTACTTCCCCACAGGCATTGTTAGCCATTGATATTGAATACAGATAGTCCTTGACTTACAACCAATTGTTTAGTGACTATTCGAAGTTACAATGGCACTGAAACAAGTGACATGACCAGTTTCCATACCGAGGAGCTTTGCAGCATCTCCATGGTCACATGATCAAAATTTAGACACTTGGCAATTGGCTCATATTTATGACGGCTGCAGTATCCCAGGGTCGTGATTCCGTTTTGCAACCTTCCGAGAAGCAGACTCAATGGGGAAGCCAGTTTCACTTAATAACTACATTACCAACTTTAACAACTCCACTGATTCACTAAACAATTGTGGCAAGAAAGGTCACAAAATGGGGAAAACTGACCTGTCTTGCTTAGCAGCAGAAATTTTGGGCTCAAATATACACATATACACACACATACATAATTTATTACACCACTCAGTTCGGAGATACAAAGGTATCAGATCAGATACTAGAATGTGGATGTAATGAAAATAGTGCTTTTTCATCTACTGTGTTTTTCGGACTATAAGACGCACTGGTGTATAAGACGCACCAAAATTTCAAAGAGGTAAGTAAGAAAAAAAAAGTTTTTGCCCACCCTGGCCCCCAGGAGCACTCTGCAGCCCTCCCAAACCCTCTGTGGGTCCCGTTTTTCACAAAAACGGGTGAAAAATGGACTGTTTTTTGCCCTTTTACGAAAACCGAGGCACGCAGAGGGTTTGGGAGGCCTACAGAGTGCTCCTGGGGGGCTGGGGGAGGGCAAAAACGTCCCTGTTTTTTGCAAAAATTGGGTGAAAAACGGGCCTCTTTTTCGCAAAAATAGATTGAGCGGGGCAGGGCTTCAGGAGGCCAAAAATGGCTGTATTCAGTGTATAAGATGCACCAACATTTCCATCCTCTTTTTGGGGGGGGGGGGAGGAAAGGTGCGTCTTATACTCTGAAAAATATGGTATTTCCCAAATTCTTTGTGATTGGATAGGTGTAAATTCTCTTCAGTCAAGTTCAACTCTTGATGGCATCATTGACATGCCCATATATTTGTTTCTTTTAACATTGCAAAAGTTGTTTGATACTGCCTTATCGCAGGAAGTTTTTCCTACTTCCCTTGTGGCCTCCCATGAAAATAGTAAAGTGTGGGTTTTTTTTTTTTTTTTTTAATTTGATTTATATGCCGCCCTTCTCCGGAGACTCAGGGCGGCTTACAATGCATTAAGCAATAGCCTTCATTCTTTTGTATATTTATACAAAGTCAGCTTATTGCCCCCACAATCTGGGTCCTCATTTCACCTACCTTAGAAAGGATGGAAGGCTGAGTCAACCTTGAGCCTGGCGAGATTCGAACCTGCAGTCATTGCAGGCATCTGTGTTAATAACAGGGTGCGTAGACCACTGTACTATCAAGGCTCAAGGTTTGATGTCACTGTTGCCTGTTCTCTGATTCTAGTGTGAATTTTTCCAACATTATGAGAGGCATAACTACCTAGTTGAGGGAGGAATGCAAGTGGCACTTTCTCTATGTACTGTGTGGCTGTGCAGTTCCTTTTAGTGCAGTTCAGATAAGCCCAGCAAATGTTTTGAAGCAACCTGGGCTGTAAGAGAGCAACTGAAAGCACCAACATTTCTCATATAAATAAAGATTTCTTGAAGAAACAAAAAATAAGGAGGAGCACAGTTAGGATCCTGGAAGGTACTTAGTAAACTAAGATATTTTCTTGGCAGGTTCTGAGCATACAGATAGCCCTCAAACTTCCATCACTAAATGGTGCAGTTGTTAAGTGGGTCATCATGTGACTGTGCCTGATTTTATGACCTTTTGGCCGCAGTCATTATGCCAGTCGCATAATTGTGTGGTGATTAAACAAAACTGGCTCGAGTCCCCCATTGACTTTGCTTATTGGAAGTGGGCTGGGAAGATCACAAGCAGTGATCATGTAATTCTGGGGTGCTGCAACCATTGTAAATACATGCCAGTTTTCAAGTGCCCAAATTGTAATTATATGGCTGTGGGCATTCTGCAATGGTTGTAAGTGTGAGGACCGGTTATAACTCACTTTTTTCAGCCCCATCGTAACTGCAAACAGACGCTAAACAATAGTCATAAGCCGAGAAATACCTGTAATCGGCCAACCATGACCAGATTCTTTCTTTCTTTCTTTCTTTCTTTCTTTCTTTCTTTCTTTCTTTCTTTCTTTCTTTCTCTCTCTCTCTCTCTCTCTCTCTCTCTTCTTCCTTCCTTCCTTCCTTCCTTCCTTCTTTCTCCTTCCTTCCTTCCTTCCTTCCTTCCTTCCTTCCTTTCTTTCTATCCCATCTTTATTATTTTTTTCAAATAAGATGGGAACACATTTTCCTTCTCTTATTTTCCCCACAACATAATGAATGCATGCTCTATTCACCAGCCCACCTCAGCAACTCACTTGCTTGTACTTAATACAAAATCTTTTTTTATGGTTCTGGAGACCCTTTCTGTGAGATCCTCATTTCCTTGAAATCCACTCCAAAACCTTTCTCTTTCTCTCTAAAACCCACACAACGAATAGGCACTCCTGTTTAGTCAAGAAGGTGACAAGTGTCCTGCAGCCATTCGCCTGGCAACAAAGCTGGGAGGCAAAATCCACCTCAGTAATCCTTTGCTCCTTTTGACATTTGCTTATTTTGTTCCCTCTCTTAGGAAATTCTGCTAAGAATTGAGTTGCATTTTCAGAATATAATTTTTCATAGAGGATAGTATAGCTTGGGGGCAGGCTCTTTACAAGGACTGGGGAGTTGGAAAAATGGCAGCTGAGAATCTGCCTGTGCAATTTTATTGTTTTCTAACCCTTCTGGCCTTGTGCATTTGTTGTTTGGTGAATAATAGCTCACGTTTCAAGGGAGGGAGAGAGGAAGGAAGGAAGGAAAGCGGAAAGAAAGAGAGAGGGGGGGGTAAAGAAAGAGACAGAGAGAGAGAGAAAGAAAGAAAGAAAGAAAGAAAGAAAGAGCAGTACTTCTGGGTACTGATAGTGGACCAAACAAGAAAAAGTTAACTCTTTCAAGCTAGGAGTCAAGGCTTAAAGATTACTTACTGTCCCACAAAAAAAACCAATGCATGCATCAACCTTAGCCAAGTGTACTTCAGCTTCTTCTTTATTCAATAACTCACTGTATCAAGAATAAAAACCTTGTCCAGCAAGAAGCACCAAAAAGAAATTACAATAGCAAAGTGAAGTAGTTAATGATTAAATCTTTTAATTACTGGAACCATCTCTGACTCTGAGTCCTTCTGATAGGGTGGGACCATCTGGTCCATCACCAATGACCAGAATGGTACTTCGTAGTAAGTCTAATACCATTCTTGGTGTTAAAGGATGGAACTGACAAGAAAGGAATATTGTATAGCAGGAAGTCAAATCCGCCTATTTTCTAATGAACTTAGAAGATTTGCCTCAAGTCCCCACTTTTCAAATGCCTCTTACTATTTGGAAGTAGGACTGTTAATGTAGCCGCTCCCCTGAGGGTTGAAGTTGTGATGCCATAAGATAGATGTATCTTGCTGGTTGTGTATATGAAAGCAATGCATTCCCTGATCCACTAGCTGATGATGGGTATCTTCCCAGTTTTCTTGCTCTATTGGGGACGAATAACCCTTCAGCCCTCTAGCCCTCAATGTTACATCTCTGGTATTAATAACCTGGAGGCATTTAGCTGGTGCCAGATGTCAACCCTGAAGCTGGCCTGGCTGAAGCCATCTTGGAGCTTCAATGCTGCCACACTAGAGCCAAGGGATAGGGAGGGGAGATTAGAGATAGCTGGGGCTGTGTAGTCAAAATAAAATACTTTCTCTTGAGAACCAAGGACGTTCTCACACCTGGCCGGAGGAAGGAGGAGTGATGTCACCAGACTAGTGGATGCTGCCTTGATTGGGCCATGTGACTGATTGATTGGGATTTTATTTATTTATTTATTATATTTCTATACCACCTTTCTCCCGTAGGACTCAAGGCGGTGTACAGTCAAGAAAAATATAGACACACAAACTTCATAAAATTGCTAATTAAAATTATTATTTAGTTTGGTCAATTAAATAAAACCCAGAATTAGATAACATTTAAAAAAAATCATAGGGATGGGGGGGGGGACTTTCTCTTTTAATTAGGTGAAAACAGAGGGACCCTTTAGAGTCAGTTTTCACCAGATCTGTGCCAATATATTTCCAATAAAGCTATTCTTTGAGGAATCTACCTGCCTTGGAGTTTTGCTTGCAATGGGTCTATTACCTGGAACCCTGACACCAGGTTCATTTCATCGGATGGGTAGGTCAGGAAGAAATTGGGAAGCTCAGTCTCTTGGGCTCAATGGAATCTGGCACTGATCTTGGTCACAAAAAAGGATACAGGTGTAGCATCACCTTGTCTTGATGGAATTTGCATGGATCCCTTCATACCGAGAAAGCCCCTAGTTGACCAAGGGTCTTAGCTGAGATTAAAGCTACCAAAAAGGCTGATTTGCAGGCAAGGGTTTTAATGAGGGTCTATCTGATGAGTTTGAAAGGAGCAGTTAGTTAGAGCTCTCAAAGCCAATAGCAAACTCACAAAGGAAAAAAGGATAAGCAGTTAAAAATTGAAGGGAAAAACAATTGGAATTTATGAATATATTTATGCATTGAGCTATTCTTGGATTGTAATGATTTTTTTTTTCAATTACAGTGTATAAACATAATTTAGAAACTTTAAAAAGTGTTCCTTACTTCAGGTTCCTAATTTCTACATTTCTATCTACAGAAAATCTCCGGTACCTGTATCCTGTGTGGAGGAGAATTCTCCACCAAACCCCAAGGCCAGCATGGTCAATAACTTTTTAGAAGACTGTTTGCAGAATGGTCAACAGGTAACTAAAACATGAAGGGATGAACAGCAACATTAAGCCTGCATTAGTTAAAGCAGGGCTTTCCAAAAATTTTGCACAATTGTCCATACCAGTTAGGTATGTGCTCTCAATTTCATTGAGGCAACAATAAAGCCAGGAATGCTGGCCTGAGAATTAGATATACATACATATCTATCACACCGTTTTCTTTCAAGCTAAGAAGTGTTATGCAAAGCGCAGAAACAAAGTAAATAGTAAACAAAATAAATTAAAGGCAAAACATTAAAGGAAATTTAAATTTAGATTCGACTTCTCCATAATTTTCTTTCTTTCCTCACTTTTACTGTGTCCATAAACCTGTTCTTTTTGTTCTGTCTTTTGTTCTTCAATCATTTCATCTCTCTTGGAACTGTCATCAACTTATCCAATTACAATTATCCTTTCTTCCTTCGTACATTTTTGTATTTCTTTAATTTTTTTGTATAACCAAATAAATTCAAAATATGTATTTCATACTGGTCATTCACTCTGGCATTCAGTTCATATTCATTCATCATGCATTCTTTTCTGACCATCCTGTTAGCCACACAATTCTTAAATATCTCATTCCCATTATAGATGGCTTGCTTTTATGTTTTCCCTGGCATAACCAACTCTTGCTTCCATATAACAATAGGAGAAATAAGCTCTTACACCAAGACATGTTTCCATTCATTGCAACAAACATTAAATTTTCACAACAGACAGCATACTGTCTTTCTATCAGCATTTGCACATCTTAAAATGTCTCTTCTTTTTTTTTTCATCTTTATTAAACATTTTGTGAATATACACAAATTAATCTGTTTGTTCCAATTGTTTACCATTGGCATATAACTTATAATAATTGGTGTTGTTTCCCTCAACTACTTTGATCTACCTTTAATTCCAGAAAAACCCATATTCTGGAGGGAATCATGGTACCATACTTTTGTTTCAAGTGCCAATATTGTCCAAATACCCAGAGCTAAGGGAATGTTTTGGTTAGACTTCTTAACTTCTAGGTTTTAAATATATGAATATAATATTTCTATCTTAGGACAGAGCAAAGGCTAAAGAAGAGGTTTCCTACAGAGACTTCAAAATGTTCTTTATAGGTAATAGGAAGTAAACATAAAGGAAACATTCACTTTTTCATCACAGTCCATTTGGGAAAGATAACTTTTTCAGTTTTCTTTGATAGGCAGAGTCTTTCTTTCTTTGATTCCAGGAGAGTACGTTTTCAGGTGGAAATCATCATGGTCCTGTAGAAGCTTTGAAACTCATGCTGTTTAACCTTCAAGCAGTTCAGCACAGCTTTCACAAAAACAAATCTGACAGACCAAATGAAGAGTCCCCAAAAGTAAGTTGCTCTGTATAAAATGAGATTCTCCGTGGTGTTTAGTTATTGTATGCTTATCTGCATCTGGCTCTGCGCTATTTTATTTATTTATTTATTTATTTATTTTATTAGATTTCTATACCGCCCTACTCCCGAAGGACTCAGGGCGGTGCACAGCCAAACAATAAAAACACATACATACAAAATTTAAAAATAGAATAAAATCAAATTAAATAATTTTGGCCCCGACAAATTTAAAACCCCAAACTTTTAAAACCAATTTAAAATTGAATATATAAAATACTAAAAGATATTTAAAATTTTAAAAATTTTTTATAAAAGAGGGGGAAAATTAGGCCAGGCCGGCCTGGTGAAATAGTAAGGTCTTTAAGGCGCGGCGGAAGGTGTGCAGATCCGGGATCCTCCGTATCTCTGGGGGGAGCTCGTTCCAGATAGTAGGTGCCCCCACAGAGAAGGCTCTCCCCCTGGGGGCCGCCAGTCGGCATTGTTTGGCTGACGGCACCCGGAGGAGCCCCTCTCTATGGGAGCGTACCGGCCGGTGGGAGGCTATTTGTGGTAGTAGGCGGTCCCGCAAGTACCCAGGTCCTAAGCCATGGAGCGCTTTAAAGGTGGTAACCAGAACCTTGAAGCGCACCCGGAAGACCACCGGGAGCCAGTGCAGCTCGCGCAGGAGGGGTGTTACATGGGAACGCCATGTCGATCCCATTACCACCCGCGCGGCCGCACTCTGCGCCAGTTGGAGCCTCCGGGTGCTCCTCTAGGGGAGCCCCATGTAGAGAGCGTTGCAATAGTCCAGGCGGGAGGTGACAAGGGCATGAGTGACTGTGCGTAACGAGTCCCGATCCAGAAAGGGAAGCAACTGGCGAATCAGGCGAACCTGATGAAAAATCCTCCCGGTCACGGCCGTCAAGTGCTCTTCTAAAGACAGCCGTGAATCCAGGAGGACGCCCAAGTTGCGAGCCCTCTCCGTGGGGGCCAATGATTTGCCCCCAATAGTCAGTGATGGCGTCAACTGACTATATCGGGACGTCGGAAACCACAGCCACTCGGTCTTGGATGGGTTGAGCCTGAGCCTGTTCCTCCCCATCCAGATCCGTACGGCCTCCAGGCACCGGGACATCACTTCAAGGGCATCGTTGGGGTGATCCGGGGTGGAGATGTACAGCTGGGTGTCGTCAGCATACTGATGGTACTCCACCCCAAAACCACGGATGATCTCGCCCAGCGGCTTCACATAAATGTTGAACAGGAGAGGCGAGAGGACCGACCCTTGCGGCACCCCACATATGAGGGGCCTCGGGGTCGACCTCTGTCCCCCTGTCAACACAGACTGCGACCGGTCAGAGAGAAAGGAGGAGAACCACCGCGACACAGTGCCTCCCACCCCCAACTCTTCCAACCGGTGCAGCATGATACCATGGTCGATGGTATCAAAAGCCGCTGAGAGATCTAACAGGACCAGGACAGAGGAGCAACCCCTGTCCCGAGCCCTCCAGAGATCATCAACCAACACGACCAATGCCGTTTCCGTGCTGTACCCGGGCCTGAAGCCCAACTGGAACGGATCCAGATACGTCGTTTCATCCAGGTGCTGGGGGAGCTGTTGCGCGACCACACTCTCAACAACCTTCGCAACAAAGCGAAGGTTGGAGACCGGACGATAATTTACCAACATTGCCGGGTCCAGGGAAGACTTCTTGAGGAGAGGCCTCACCACCGCCTCTTTCAAGGCGGCGGGAAAGTCACCCTCACCCAACGAAGCGTATATAATCCCCTGGAGCCAGCCTCGTGTCACTTTCCGGGAAGCCAGTACTAACCAGGAAGGACACGGGTCCAATAAACAAGTGGTCGCGTTCAGTCTACCCAGAATCCTGTCCACGTCCTGAGTTCCTAGATTTATTCGTGAGTGGTGAGGCTTTGTCATTTTCTCCCAGTGGATGGATGGATGGATGGATGGGTCCAAGGACCCATGCAGGAAACACACCCACATGTGCTTCTACCTTTACATTCTAGTTCTGTGGAGAAAAAAAATCACCTTCTTTTAGCTTCTCTGAATTTTTTGCATAACTTTGCCAGTGAGTGTTTTCAGTTTCTTGTGAGTCCTACTGATAAATTATTGGAATTAGAGTGCAATTACAGTTACATTATAGTTTGGTGTTTTGTTTTGTTTTTCATTCTATCACTTGACGTAGCCCTACAGCTCTGCCTTTTAGAAGATAAAAGCATCTCCTTTAAGGTCCATTTTGAGACAATAACAGCATGATATTGCATTCCCACCCACCCCACACACATAAAAGAGGGACAGAAAGAAAGAAGGCAGAAGATGAAACAAGATCAAATAAAGAGCAAGGAAGTATGCCTATACAAGACATGGTAGGCAAAGTGTAGGTAGAAAAATATATAGGATCCAAGAGATCATGGGATCCATGGGAGGGCCTTTTTTGGGTGTTGGAAATATCTGAAACCAGCTGGAAGATAGATTGCACTGGAGAACATGAGATCCAGAGCCACAAGTGATGCTGTGCCAGGAGATTCCTTATCCATTTTCAGTTTCCTTTTCCTCCTTATGGAAGAGCCAATGAGGAGAGGTATGCTCGTTGACAAACGGCAGGGAAAAAAGCAGGGGTCTGGGCAGGGGGCATGTAGGTGGCATGACCATGTAGGGGGTGAGCGACCAGCCATCTTCTATTTCCCAAATAGGCAACCTGTCTCAAGCTGCTTTCAGCCTTAAGGACCATGATTAGGCCAAGTAGCACTAACAACGGTGACCTCCCATTTCAAACACAGGAAGCTGGATGGACCAGCAATCCTTGGGTATAAAAAGAGGGGGCATGCAATAACAACACCCTCCATAAAACAAAGAGATGTCTTATGTGGCAGCATGTATGAATAATATTCCATTGGAGTTAAGGCAAATCTTGGCAAACTGGCTTGTCTTCACATAGATTCCTCCTCACAGTTCGGAAGGAACCAGATAATGAAAATGGAGAAATAATATGGTAGGTTTGACAAATATAGGGGGAAAATCTCAGGAGATGAGAAAAGATGCTACAAGGGGACATCTCATCCCATTTTCTTTGCCTTCCGAGTTCTGATTCTTTCACTGTTTAGGACGATGGTTAAACACATCTCTGTTCCAAAGCTTTTAATAGTTAATGTTATGAATGCTCAATTGAATGTTCATTCTAAAACATATTCATTGACCTTCTTATTATATTATTATTATTATTGTAACAGGAATATTGTAACAGGAATAAACAGAAATGCAGGGGATGCGTTGAATAATCAAAACAAAGAAAAATAACATACCTGTTTGATCAATTTAGTTAATGACATAATTATGGCCATTTCGTTGAACAATTAGATATTATTTGAGTCGACCCTGCCCTATAATCAAAACAAACTTCAACTTTTTTCTCACCTCTCTGTAAAGTTCTCCCTATAATTAAGGAGGCAGGTCGTGCCTGGCTCACAGACATTTACGAACCATTTAACGACAGCTATAAAAACCCCAAAGGCCTATTATACAGAAAAAAGTTAGAGAAGTATCACTTATAGGGGTCTGTGGATGTTATGCCAATTATATATGTGTTATGCTAGAATGAAACCAAGCCCTACATTCCCCAATACAGGTAGTCCTTGATTTACACCAGGAGTGTCAAACTCAAGGTCCACGGGCCGCATTTGGCCCGCTGGATGATTAAATCTGGCCCGTGGGGCCTGCCTGGAAATAGCAAAAGGCCAGCCCGCGGTACCTCTGGCAGCCAAAACGGGGTGCGGGGGTGTCACGTGAGCTCCCCCCCCCGCCATGCCCCGTTTTGGCCGGGAGGGTGCTGCAGGCGATGTCGGTCACAGGGATGAAATGCTCCCGGTTCGGACCAGATCACCCGATCCGGTAGCGATGGCTGCGGGTGGTTCGGAGAACCGGTAGCAAAAATCCCTGCGCGCCCCGCCCAGCTGAGCCGTGCGATCATCAGAGGCTGGGTTTTTTTACTTTTAAAAGCATTTTTTCTACAACATCTTAGGCCGAAAAAATGCTTTTAAAAGTAAAAAAAAGAAAAAAAAGGCTCTGATGATCGTGCGGCTCGGCTGGGATCATCAGGCTTTTAAAAGCATTTTAACAACCTCTTCTGTTTCCTTCGCCAAAGAGGTTGTAGAAAAAATAGTTTTAAAAGTTAAAAAAAAATTGGCCACGCCCACCCAGTCACATTACCACCCCTCCTACCAAGCCACGCCCACAGAACCCGTAGTAACAAATTTTAGATTTCACCAGTTTTCCTCCGTAGGTCCTGCACCACAGGCCATCCTTGAAGGAAGTCTGACTTCAGCCTATCCCACAATGGCAAAGAAGACTGTCTGCCTGAGCCAACGTCAGTGTTCCCAAACGCAGAAACATTGTGTTTCACAATGCCTAAGTCAGAGAAACATTATGGCAGGAACGAGCTGTTCATGGTCGAAAACCCTCAGAGTTTGCTAGTCTGAAGCAGTTTTCCAGGCAAAATGATGTGAAAAGTTGATTGTCAATTACAGGAAATATAAACAGCTAAAAGGTTGGGCAACTGATGAATAAATTTAGATTAGGTGTCCACACAGGCATATTGCAGGTTGGAAAGTTTAGTTTAGGAAATAATTGAAAGCAGCGCCATCCTTTACTGTTACTTATTTGCTTAGACTACCTTGTGTCTTCTCGTACATCAGGATTTAAATGAATCTTTGATAACATTCAATGCCAAAGACACCTTTCGGAAATACGAAAGGAGGTAGAACACTTTTTCACGGAATTATACGGAGCTCCAAATATTTAAATTTGAGTAAGTCATGCAATGATATTATTCTTATTTGTCAATACCTTGGAAAGTGAAACACCCTTTTAAACTTGTCCTTGGATTTTCCCTCAAGGAGAAATAATAATAATAATAATAATAATAATAATAATAATAATAATAATAATAACTTCTATCCCAGACTACGCTATTGAGCAATAACATTTCCTTCTTCTTCTTCTTTTTTCTTTTCTTTTTTTTAAAGGTTTCAAGTGGAGATGAAGATTTCAAGTTGATCGATTGTGATATGATCCCTGTGGCCCAGTCCCTTCAGAGGTAAGAAGGGCTGACTTTCAGAGGCTGAGATTCCCAATCTAGCTACAGTGAAGTGTGCCTTGTTGCAGTTGATGCTTTGAAGCACCCTTTCCCTTGTGTCACAACCTAGGAGGTTTAGCATCCATGCCAGTAGCCTATTCTAAGGTGACCTCATGTGCATCTTCTTTCCTCTTCAACTCTTTTCACGTACAAGAGAAATCATTTGAACGCTGCCTGTGGAAGCTGTCATTTTCATTGAGAACAACCTGAATAAAATGTCTTAACAGCTGCCAGGTTGACATGGATAGGTGGATGTGGATGGATGGACACGACTAGGTGTGTTCTGCCCCAGCTACGGACCCCGAAGAACACAGCACACACAAAGTCTGTACAAATCTTAGTTTACTAAATTAAATAAGTCTTTTTCAAATAAAGGCTGTTAATTAACTTTCTTAACAGCCTACAAGAATCCAAAGAATAAATAATCGTAATCTTACTATGGTTGGCAGAAAGCCCAGAAGCAATTTGCAGGAAGCTGATAAGAGAACTAAGATCAGGATGCGAAGGAAAGTGAACGAAGTTGTTCCCTGCAAATTGCCTCAGTTGTCATCCTTCCTTAAATAGGCTAAGGGAGTTGTCAATTAGTCCCAAGCCTTACTCTCGAGGAGAACTCCTCCTGAGGAGCCACTCCTGCCTTTTGGCAGCTCTGCATGCCCGTGCATCGAGAAGAGGCTCCTCCTCTTCTTCATCTTCACTTATGGGAGCTTCTGGAGGTTCTGAAGGCCCTGGCTGAATCCCCGCCTCTGGCACCACATCTTCTCCAGCCTCCTCACTGTCCGACTCGAGTGCCAGCTGCACAGGCTGCTAGTGCAGCACCACACCAGCCTCCTCACTGTCGGAATCAGCTACTAGCTGCACAGGCCGCTGACGGGCCACAACAGGGAAGGTGTGGATGGCTCGGTGCCTCCAACTCAGTGCAGCCAAATAGATGGGGCCAATTGGGTGTAGCTGAGTGGACACGGATGGCTGGCATGTCTGGGTCAGTGCGGAAAAAATCGCACTGGCTAACTGGACATGGGGACAACTTGACACTCCACTAGCTCCTTGCCTCCCCGAACTGCTGGTAGCCCAGCACATGCATATCCATCCACATCAACCTGGCTGCTGTGTGTCATCCTAGACTCGGCTCAGTGACCCACAAGGCAATATTTGCGACTACCGTGGCATATGGGCCCCCTCAGCAGGATGGTGCCAACAAGTTCTCAAGCCGCAATGTAAATTAATTTTTTAAAAAATTAAAAATGATAGAAGTTTTGCAAGATCAGTTAAAAATGGGAGAGATTTCACCAAATCGCCAAGTCTCATGACAATACAGTGTTCTTTCTAATACCCTGTGGAAAGAAGTCTGATGTTGTGAAGTCTTATGTCCAAAAAGGTTACAGGTTACAGGTAATCCTCGATTTACAACCCCAATTGGGACCAGAATTTCTGTTGCTAAACACAAACTTGTCAAGTCTTGAGCTGCATCCGGTTATACAACCTTTTTTTAACCACGGTTGTTAAGAGAATCCCTGAAGTTGTTAAATGAATCACAGGGTCGTTAAGCAAATCTGGCTTTCCCCATTGACTTTGCTTGTCGGAAACTGGCTGGCAAGGTTACAAATAGGTCACATGAACCCAGGATGCTGCAACCATTGTAAATAATGCCAGTTGCTGAGCTCCCCAGTTTTGAGAATCCTGCAACGGTCTTAACCACAAGGACCAATAGTAAATCACTTTTTCAGGGCCATTGTGTCTTCACTGCCATTGAATAGTCACTAGATGAATGTCTGTAAACTGAGGACTGCTTGTACTTTGTAACGGTCCCTATTAAAATAGCGAGGTTTTTTTTAAACTAGGGCTCTCCTAAATTAAATGACAAACCAATGTATAATTGTTTATTATGTTATTTTTAAACCTGGATTGGATGGAGAAGAAATTGAATTTATTCCATTTGTAAATCTTAATTTGGATTTCTTAGCCCTCCACTGAGGCACTTACAATTTCCCTTTAGTTATCCAACTGGCCATGATGGGAAGCATGTTACTGAACTAAAGCACACTTTGAAGCAAATTCTTTGATGCTTCATGAAAAATAATCTCTGGATCAATCTATGGATGTGCTACTCTCCTGTCATTTCATCATCATCTTTGGTTCCTTTCGCGCAAAGCGCATAGGGCAGCAAGATTCTTCCGGTGAATCCTATCTACAGCAGCGTACTCTAAAAATAGGCATGTGGAGAGAGATTTGAAAAATGCAGTTATGGTTTTTTTTATCCCATGATGTGTCTAAGTAAGAGCAATCATCCTTCAGCCTGAACAAAAATGTTCCAAAGCCACATTTAATGATGCTTTTAGAGGTACATAATCTGCATTATGATGAACATGTAGCGGCATTGACTTTACTTGTTAGGAACCGAGTCCTTGGAATTTGGTAGTCTGGTTCACATATAATATAATAAGTAAAAAATGCTTTGTTTCAAGATCGTGTAATGCATAATATGCCCCTAATTGTGGGGACCAGGATATTATAAATTGCTCAATAAATCATAAATTCCTAGCTTGGCAAATTGTGTGAATACTATCATCGTGGAATTAGTCTGTCAATTAGCTTTATATTTTTATATACTTACATTGTAAGCAGAACAGTCGTGTTTTTTTTTTCCATAGAGCTTTGCATCATTTATCCCGACTTAAAGGATTGGTTAACGATACAAGTGGTAGAGAAGAATCAACAGAATCCCTCAAGACATGACGCATTGAACATAAATATATCTACAAAATAAATATAATTTAAAACATCAGTTAAAGGCAGGGGCACGTATTAAGACGCTCGTGAACCTATGAACTCAGCTTTTTTCCAAATCTTGTATTTATGTAAATATAAATGTATCTAACTAAAGTCTCTAGAGGCATGTTATCTTTTATGAAACTTTGCCAGTCCCTAAAGAAATGTGCAAATGATAGAAAAGGGTTGCTCTACTTTGAGACTTTTTCTTCCTTAATATCTGTTTCCATCCTAGCTGGGTAGAAATAGTGAGCAACTCAGGCACCTGCTAAAGAAAAAAGGAAGTTTTAAGCTCCGAAAACTAATTTTATAATTTTTTACTATTCCTGATAACAGAGGCCAGAATACAAATGATTATTGTTATATCAGATGTGGTATGGTCAAAAACAATAATTGTATAAAGGGATACGGATAATCCAGATGAAGTAATGAAGTGTGAAGGTAACATTACTGCAGAAATGAGTTCTTGTGTGTCACTCTAATAGACCTGCATAAATATAACTTTATTTTCAAATACACGATTGGTCTGTTGGAATTTAAAATACTAGTCTCCAAAGATGGACTCTATTTCCATATTTTTATTCCGCTTCCCCTAAACCACAGATTGGAGTTCAGCATAACAAATATTTTGGATATGCATAGAATGACATCACAGTTCTCTGCAAAACCATCAAAGTTAGGCTACGTTGCATAGTGGTTATTGCTGAACTCTGCTACATTGGATCTCTATCTTGGGAACCACTATTATTGATTCAGACAGTTGTTTCTGAGAAGACAAAAACATAGATGACACATACATACATTTGGTTTTTGGTCCAAAATTTGTCAGAGCATGTGGTTCTAGACAATCTAAAAGTCTGATTCAGAATTTCAAACCAACTTATTCTCTGAATGAGATCATCCATCACTTCGTCAATCTCATTTGGAAAACTGCTTCAGTTGGGAGGAAACCCTTTTTATACATGTGCAGAAGACCATCAAATAGCTGGATCAATTTGGAAAGCATTGATTCAATTTAGATGTCTAATTTAGAAAGTCAATTTAGTTCAGGGGTTTGATTGAACTGCCTTCAAACTGCTGTCCTTTGTGCAGCTGTAATCTGCATGAAATTGTTGATTGGATAAGTGTTTCTATCTGCTGTAATTTATTCAATAAACTATGCTTAAACTCTGATTAAGTGTGATTTATGAACCTAAACAAACTATGCAAACACAGGTAACCCTCAGCTTAACACCAGTTCATTTAGTGACCCTTCAAAGTTACAACGGCAGGGGAAAAAATGACTTAGGTCCATTTTTCACAGTTATGACCTTTGCAGCATCCCCATGATCAGATGATCAAAATTCAGATGCTTGGCATCTGGTTCATATTTATGACGATTGCTGTGTCCCAGCAATGTGACCTCCTGACAAGCAAAATCAGTGGGGAAGCTGAATTCACTTAACAACCGGCTTACTAATTTATCAACTGAAGTGATTCACTTAACAACTGAGGCAAGCAAAGTCGTAAAATGGAGCAAAACTCACCAAATGTGTCACTTACCAACAGAAATCTTGGACCCCATTGTGGCCATAAATTGGGGGCTACCTGTAATCTAAAGCATCTTAAATGCGATCAGAATGATTTATCTTTTAGTTGAATAACTAATAGAAGAAGATCCACAGTGATTGGACTTCCAGATTACAAGATAATTGTTCCCCGCACTCTTTCCTCTAAATTAGGAATTGGTGAGAATTTTAAGTAATTCCCTATGGGCCTATTTTTTAATATACTAATTTTAGTGGAAGCCTTGATTTGTTACTGCAATAGAATTTTAGACATAGATGTTCCGGATGTTCTTGGCCAATACATGAGCCATAATTTCTAGAAGTTATAGCACACATGACTGAGAATAACCCAGGTTAGTTCTTTATGCCATGAAGCTGGAGAAGACCAAGTGAGGGGTTAAAAGCGTTTCCTCAAACTAGATCCTTCATTTCTCTTCCTCACAAAGCTATAATACACGTATAACGGCAATGTACATTTCCTTTATATAAAAAGATGTTGTGGTTCGCCAGCAGCCTGCGGAGTGGCAGCAGAGTCGGACAGCGATGAGGCTGAGGAAGAACATGGGCCAGTCCTGGAGGCTGGGTGTTCTGTCCCCCCACCTCACATAGGCAGACACACGAGCAAAAGACGTCTATCAGTAATTTATTTGTACAAGCTGACCTGAATCCCTTTGGCAGATAAAAGTTCTGGCAGCTACTTTCTGAATGCCTGCCAAGTTTCTTATCACCTCTAGAAACGGGAGTCAGCGTATCTGTAGTCCGTTGCTGGGGCAACCAAGAGTTCAAAGAGTAGTCAGAAGTCATTCACAAAGTCCAAGCCTTAATTCCGAAAAATATCCCATCCGAAGCTCACGATATGCAGTTTTTGTCCGTCACAGAGCCTGCAGAGCAACCCCACCCACTTTTATCCCCTGTGGGGCATGGCTCAGTGACTCAGCAATCTCTGGCCCTTCCCCACCTCTTCCTTTGCTGCGCACGCCTCTCCCTCTGATGCTGCCTGGGATCAATCGTGGGCTAAATTATTTAATTTGGTTTTAAATTGTTTTTAACTTTTGTATTTCTGTATTTTATCCTGTGCCTGTTCACCGCCCTGAGTCCTTCGGGAGTAGGGCGGTATACAAATTTAATCAAATCAAAATCAAATCATCACTCCCTATTAGTGGGTGCTCCGACATGCCTTCCTCCTGGCCTTCAGCTGGAACCTGAGGCGTTGCCAGGAAGGAGGGTCCTGGAGAGGGAGGCCTTGTCAGTTCCTCCCCATCACTTTCAGAGTCATCTTTTTCTGTGAGGACAGGCTCGGGAGCCGGAGTCACAACACTGGGGAAGGCCCGGATGAGGGCTCTGCGTCGGAGGCAGAGATGGGGCCAGGGCCATCGGGGAGTGATGTGCGGACTCCAGAGCCTCCAGAGGCTGACAGTAGAGAGGCAGAGGAACAGGAGGAGCCTGTTCCTAGTGCACGTATGAGACGAGCTGCCAGAAGGCAAGAGCAGCTAAAGCAAAGAGGACGACTTGGGAGTAGGGCCAAGAGATGATTGGCCCCTCCCATAAGGCTTAAAAGACCAGCAACGGCTCTTGGGCTCTTTATCGGAAAACAACATCGATAGTATTGCTGCACTTATCTCTTGTCGATGTCTTCTGCTTTTGAACTTTTGCCAAGAGAAGCCTTTGGCAGTTTGCCTAATTATACCAAGATTAGTGATTAGACAGATCAAGTCTGCTCTGAAGATAGATGTATATGGGAATTTACTCATACCACCAGTAGCAACCTTATGACTATAACTAGTCCGTATACCCAAAATTGTCCTTCAGGGCCTGAATGAGAGGTGGAGGGAATGCTTGTCAGTTGGATAGATAAAGAAGGGAAAGATGGATGATGTTCATTTATTGATCTATTACTTGCATTTTTAGGGAAGTCCCCTAAAATCTTCAAGGACTCAGGTAGCTTCCCCACATAAAATAAAAAACTATATTGCAAAACCTACAAAAATAACATCAAAAGGTATAAAGCTTCTAATCATTAACAGTTCAACAGTCCCCAATATAGGACACCAGTTACTCCAGAGCTTTTATGAAAATTTTATGGCCACTGTAAATACTAGCCTGGAGGAAATCCTCATAACCTCAAGAGGAAAGGTAGTTCAGAGCAAAGGACTGTCCAAGAAGATCTGCCTGTGAGCCTATGGACTCATCCTTTATGGGGTGGCAACCACAGCCACCTCTCAGCCAGTGAATATTAGATGGGCAGATTCTACTTGGAGTAGGTGGTTCTGAAGATTGCGAAGATTGGGAGTATAATGAGTTTTTAGAGGTGATGATAACCACCTGGTCTCAGAAGCCAACCAGCATCTGATGCCACTCCCATATATCTGTGAATTCTGTACTAGCTACCACCTATCAGCAAGCAAACTGCCACATTCTGCACCAGCTAGATCTGAGATCTCTTGTCTCCTGGTAGTTCATATGGAATGGATCGCTTTTGCTCCACTAGGTGATCCAGGAAAGGCGGCAATTGGTACAAAGCTGGCACTGACAACGGTGGTCCTTGTGATGTTCTCCATCTGCTGTGGTAGCATCTGCTGTAGGACCAAGAGGACATCTAGAAGGGAGAAGCAAAAATCGTGTTGAGAGATTAGAGAACTGGATTGGAAACGACAGAATGAAATTTAACTCAGACATGCAAAGTTTTTCTTGGGAAAAATACAATGCCACAATACCGAATGGAGACCATGTGGCTTGTTAAGAGTAGTCTTTTGCAAACTGAATATGAGTCAGCAGTAGTGGGATAACTTCTGAAAAGGAAAGAGCCTGCATCAACAGAAGGATCATTTCCAAATTGTGGGAAATAATAGTTCCTCTATATTCTGCGTTGGTTAGCCTCTGCCTTCAGAAAGCTGAACAAGTGCAGAGTCAGGCAACAAAGAGTGCTGGGAGTTGGGAACTTAATTTAATAACATTCAGTAGCAAAATTATTTTAAAATTCAGTAAATCTAAAAGGGACAGATACCTTAGAAGAAAACTAAAAGTCTTTCATGGAAAGAGTAAAGGAACTGGGTATGTCTTGCTTTGAGAAAGGATAACAACAAGGGACTAGAACTGCCCTTTCCAAATATCAGAGAGACTATACATAGAATAAAATCAAAAGCTGTGTCATCTCCAAATGGCAGACATGAGTACATGAGTACATGGTCCTTGCTGAACTACTCATTCAGCAACAATTTGAACTTACAATAGTGTTGAAAGAGTGGTACTTACAATTGGTTCACAGAGGAATGGAGTGGAGCGGAGTGGAGTGGAGTGGAATGGAGTAGAGTAGAAAAGAATAGAATAGAAATAGAATAGAAATAGGAATAGAATAGAATAGAATAGAATAGAATAGAATAGAATAGAATAGAATAGAATAGAATAGAATAGAATAGAATAGAATTCTTTGTTGGCCAAATGTGACTGGACACACAAGGAATTTGTCATGGTGCATACGCTCTCGGAGTACATAAAAGAAAAGATACATTCATCTAGAATCATAAGGTACAACACTTAATGATAGTCATAGGAAAAAAGCCAATATAAATCTTAAGGATACCAGCAACAAGGTTACAGTCATACAGTCATAAGTGGGAGGAGATGGGTGATAGGAACTAGGAGAAGATTAATAGTAATGCAGACTTAGTAACTAGTTTGACAGTGTTGAAGGAATTATTTGTTTAGCAGAGTGATGGCGTTCGGGAAAAAACTGTCCTTGTGTCTAGGAGTTCTGGTGTGCATTCCTCTATAGCGTCATTTTGAGGGTAGGAGTTGAAACAATTTATGTCCAGGATGCAAGGATTCTGTAAATAACTTCACAGCCCTCTTTTTGACTCGTGCAGTATACAGGTCCTCAATGGAAGGCAGGTTCATAGTAATTGTAGAGTAGAATAGAATCAGTTCTAGCTGTTGCAGTATCCCTAGGAGTCACATGATTGTGATCCGGATACTTGGAGATCAGCTTGCAATGATATCACAGCATCATGTGATCAGATGATCGCCATTTGTGATCTTCACTGCCACCTTCCAACAAGGAAAGTCAATGGGGAAGCCAGCAGGAAGTCACAAACATCAATCTTGGGCATTGCCCATAACTACAAGATGCTGGCTTTGACCTTTAAAGCCCTACGTGGCATGATGGCAGTATATTCGAGGGGCTGCCTCTCCCGATGCAACTCACCAAATCCAACATGGGCAAAGGAGCTACGTTTGGTGGGCCCTAGGCAGTGGCCCTTCTCTGCTGTGACACCCACTCTATAAAATATCCTTCCCCTGGAGTGGGACTGGCTTCAACACATTGACTTTTCGAAGGTTTCTCAAGGCCTGGTTGTGCCATCAGGCCTGGGAGCTAATTGGGTTACAATATTGGCAATATTGGCAAAGGACCTCCGTATCTTCCGTAAGGCCCTGAAGACTTATTTATTCCACCAAGCCGGCCTAGCCTAAATGATTCTTAATTGGGATTTTAAATTTTATAGACTTGGGGGTTTTAAATTGGGAAGCCAATGATTTAATTCTTTTTAATGATCTTAACTTTTGTATTGTATGTATTTTTAATTTTGGCTGTTCACCGCCCTGAGTCCCTTCTGGGAGAAGGGCGGTATACAAATTAAATTAATAAATAAATAAAATAAAAATGTCTCTTTGATTAATATTCCTGCTTTTTTTTTTTTTTAGTTTTTATAGTTAAAATAAGAATTATAATATTCTTTAGTATTTATTGACTACCTGACAGCCAAAGTCTCTTGTTGTGAGATCGGCAGTTATATAAATTTGATAAAATGAGTAAATAAATAAGTTGGTTAGTGTTTTGTAATCAAAAGCTCCCTGCGGAAACACAGAGAAGGTGGGAGATTTCTAAACTTGAAATGTAAGTACATAAAAGTAAATAAGGGTAGAAATAGTCTAATTGCTGTCAGTCTATACTATTTCCCCAAACAACACCCTCCCCCCAATAATCTCTTCAGATTGATGCATTTAAGGATTTACAAGAATTGGCTGTTTAAGGTGTATTGGCTTGCGAAGAAGGAAGGATAGAAGAAATAGGTAGGTTTTTGAAAATAAGTAACTAGAATGAAGGAGTTGCGTTGTGTTTTTTTTAAATCAAGGTTTTTCAGCTTGGCTATCACTGATAGTCCTGTTAGAACTTTACACAGTTACCTAGATGTTACTCATAGATCACAGTCCATATTCACAATCTCAATCTCCATGCCTAAGAATCAATCTGTACCACAAAGTCTTGCCTTTCATACACCAAACAATCAAAATCAATCACACCTAGTCACACCCAGTCACACCACACCAACCAGAAACACAGCTGTCCTGCACGGATAGTTTTGCTCCCCTGTGAGAAATCTCTTCACACTTTAAAGTCTCTATGGCTAGTTCCCTTCCTGCCTTGAGTAATGTGCTTTCTTTGATGGTCAGGCAGGCAAGAAGCAATGGATGGAAACTAATCAAGGAAAGAACCAACCCAGAACTAAAGTGAAATTCCCTGGCAGAACAATTAATCAGCGGAACAGCTTGCCTCAAGAAGTTGTATGTGCTCCAACACTGGAGGTTTTTAAGAAAAGACCGGACAATCATTTGCCTGAAATGGCATAGGGGTTCCTGCCAGAGCAGTGGATTAGGCTATAAGACCTCTAAGCTCCCTTTCAATTCTGTTATTCTGCCAATTAAACCAATCCTATGGCAGGATATACTAGGTCTTGACCCCTTTTTTCACATTTATTTATTTATTTATTTATTTATTTATTTATTTATTTATTTAATTAATTAATTAATTAATTAATTTTTTATACCGCCCTTCTCCCGAAGGACTCAGGGCGGTGAACAGTCAAACATATATATAAAAACGTGAATAGAAGCAATAAATAATAATTAAGTCAATTTGGCTTATCAGTTAAATTAAGTTAAGATCTTCAGAATAAAATTTACACAATTAGGAAAAGGAAAGAAAAAATTAATTATGCCAGCCGAGCTTGGTGAAAGAGGAAGGTCTTAAGTGCCCGACGGAAAGTATGAAGATCTGGGATTATACATCCAGATGAACAAGGGTGTGTGCTCCACACTTAATTACTCTCACTGAAAAACTGCTGCACCATCCAACAAATGCTGCTGCTCTACCAGGAGCTCTGGTAGCACAGCAGAGTAAAGCACTGTTAATAACATCAGCTGCCTGTAATTACTGCAAGTTCGAATCTCTCCAAGGCTCAAGGTTGACTCAGCCTTCCATCCTTTCTAAGGTAGGTAAAATGAGGACCCAGATTGTGGGGGCAATAAGCTAACTTTGTATAAATATACAAAAGTATGAAGGCTATTGCTAAATGCATTGTAAGCCGACCTGAGTCTTTGGAGAAAGGCGGCATATAAATCAAATTTAAAAAAAAAATGATGGCCACACAGATACTTACCAACCTTCAGCTAGGCGCCTGCAAGCTATTACAACTCCAGCTGCTCTACCGGATCACCCTCGGGACTCTTCCTTGAAGTTGATCTAACTCAAGTCACATGCAACTGACAAGACAAAGTGAAAGAAACACAAAAACTACAAACAAATCTCCACTTCCATGATTTTCCACCTTTGCATCTCTTGCCAGAATTCCCACCCCCCTGATGAGCCGAGACTGAAGGTCATTGCGTGCAGTCTCGTTCGTCAGCAGAAGAAGATGCTGGTTAAGAGAACAGAGCAAGGCCTAGTGGCAGATCCCGGATGAGCCCCCAAAATTGTTATCCCAGAAACCTGGTTCTTCCCAGTGTCCAACTCCCAATAAACAACATGCCAAGAGGGAGATTTGCAAAAGCATTATTCTACACAGAACAAAGCACACAGGAGAATCATTCCCACTGGGGTCTGTGGGAAAGACCAGCAGTACAATTTTAATAGGTATTTTTCCAAGAGCCCACCTGAAACCAGCCCCTCTTAAGGCATCCTGGAACCAGGTTTCTGGAACCACAGACTTCATAGCTATATTTAGAAATAGATTAGTCATTGTGAAATCCTTCCTGCTATAAATTGTTCTGCTGGAAAAAGGGGATATCCTCATTTGCATTCATGCTCACACTGAAATTTCCATTGCCAAACACTTATAAAATAAAAACCTGTTGCCTTCTTCATCTACAGAAGTATTGGTGATAGGACCAAGATATTTTTTTTTCCCTCCCACCTTTAGATGCTTGCAAAATTGTACTTTGCCAATACAAAATGGATAATTCGGGATTTGAGCTGGATGAAGAAGCACCTCCAAGCAACTTCTCCAAGCCAGAAAAGATTAAGCAAGAATATCATGTAAGTTGCAATAGTTTACAATGTTTGTAAAATATTTAGAAAGCTATATTAGTTCTTCTTAATAGAAAAAAAAAATCTGCATTATAACAAATTTAATTATTTTAAATCTATTTTTAATTGTATTTATGTATAAATGTTTTTATTTTGGCTGTTCACCGCCCTGAGTCCAAAAGGAGAAGGGCGGTATAGAAATTCGAATAATAAATAAATAAATAAAATAAACATGAGTAGGGAAGTATAAAATCTAGAGAATGCACAACTAGACATTATCTGTTCTCCCCCATTTCTAGTTAATACAGAGAAACTGTTTGCTGGACCAAACTCTAAAAAGTAGCATTTCTCACCCTACCGAAGAGGGCAATAGTTAGGAACAGACAGGTCTTCTTTTCAGTTTTTTGGAAGATTATGATGAGAAGTAATTTCCATAGTGTGAACACACGTTTATCCTGCACAGGGTATGTAATAATGCTATGCATTCCAAACTGATAAATTCATAAGTGGAGTTAGGTCTTAGATAGTGACAAAGAACATTTTTTAAATTTATTTTTTATTTATTTTGTAAAGCATGTATTAGATAATAGATGTAAGTATAAACATGATTTTATGAATACAGGATATGGATTAAGGTATGATTAAGGAAAGTATGTTTGATGAAAACAATCATGATTTCATACCATTCACCTGACAAGCTAAACCTACAAGATGATGGCAGGGAAACATACCTTGCATGCCCCACACATGTGAGTTGGCTCTTCCCACTGAGTAGCAGGAGCATTTAAAGTATGCAAGCAAGGCACTAAATAAATAGATTTGTTCACATATATTTATGTAATTTTTCAACCTTTATCCTAGTATGCCATTCAGGCATTTTATCATAAATTATGAAGCTGGCTTGGTCTCAGTAACTATAATTAAAATATCAGTCTCAAGCCAGACAGATAATAAAACTGGTCTGGCTAAGAAGGGAATAGAAAACTTGGGATATTGCAAAGTTAATATTTGTGCCCTGAAGACCTTCCTTTTTCAGCAAGCCGGGCTGACTTAACGCTTTTTAAATGTTTTTAATATGTTTTGTTATTGTTTTTTTAACTTTGGGGCCAAATTTATATATATCTTTTTAAATTGCTTTTAATGTTTGTATTTATGTTTTTTACTTTGGCTGTACACCGCCCTGAGTCCTTCGGGAGAAGGGCGGTCTATAAATTTAATAATAAATAAATAAATAAATAAATAAATAAATAAATAAATAAATAATATTGATTAACTAATTATTAACTTTTCTTCCACAGTGGAAGAAAAGAAAAAAGCAGGAAAGAATTGATTAATGTTTGTTTTAGTATTAACTCAAAAAATTCTGTACTTTACTGAGAAAATTGAGCCAGGACAAGATAATTCAATTATGGAGTTGAACATCAAAGCTGAAAGACAGGGTGAAAAGAGGAACTTTCCCTTCTTGAGTAAAGCAATGGATTTGTTTCCTAAGCCCATCAGTCAGTGTTATCTTTGATCATTGCAGCAACAAGCTGCCTGTTGCTTCACTGTCTTCCGGAGCTGCCAATTTTATAAAATATAGATTCATAGGGCTGTAATTGCGGGTCTTACAGTCCAACCTCCTACTCAAGGCAGGAGATTTTATATCACCCCAATCGAAGGGTTGTCCACTCTATTTTTGAAAACCTCCAGTGACGGAGCATCCACAACTCCGGGAGTAGCTATTCCGTTGATGAATTGTTCTCACTGTCAGGAAATTTCTCCTTATTTCTAGTTTGCATCTCTCTTTAACAAGCTTCCACCCATTACTCTTTGTCCTGCCCTCAGGTGCCATGTTGAACCCCACTTTTCTGTGACAGCCCCTCAAGTACTGGAAGACAGTTATCATGTGTCCTCCCCCCCTTAACTAGACTAAACATACCTAGTTCCCTCAATTGTACAGATTAGCCCCCCCCCCGGGGGGGGCCCTTACCATTTTGTCACTCTTCTCTGCCTGTCCACAGAGGATGCCCGCAGGCATGTCCACAGAGCTTGTTCCAGAAAGTCAAGACAGCAGCCATGATGACGATGTCAAAGCTATGTCCATTTTCATATATGTAATTTTTACTAAAGAATTTTTTTTTTTACAAATTTAAAAGCTACAGAAAAATAAAAAGAAGGTAGAAGAAAGAAAAAGATATAACGAGAAAAATAGGGAAGAGAGAAGAAAAATGAACCACAGTGTAGGTCTTGAAAAGAGAAAGAAAAAAGAAGTATTTAAAGAAGTGACTTTTAATCTCCTTTGCAGCAGTAATAAACTTAATTAATACGGTTTCTGCTCTCGCGAATTGCATAGTTCCCTTCTTCCCATAGACAGCTTTTTAATCAGTAAATCCAGAGATCACTGGTTTGTTTTTATCGGTTTTCAGGAAAAAGTCTGGAAAGTCCATAAAGGCTTTCCAGTCTTTTTACAAAAGTAGTTTTTGCTTTTTTGATAATCAAACAAGTCAATTTAGGCGTCTTGGCAAGTTCTGCCATCTTCAGAATCTGTTCCACATATAAGTATGTGGAAAATGGTTACGGTCCTGTCAGGTCTGTCTATAGTTCTGGGTTTCCAGATGCTGCCTTCAGGGTCAGTGAACTATTTTACACCCTTCCTTTTCTCCTGCCCTGAATTCTTCAGAAAATTCTTACTTCCTGCAATAAAAACAGAGAACGAAAACCTGCCGCTGTTACAGGAAGCAAAGTCTCCTGAGCGCCTTCGAGTCCCTGTTGATTCCTGGCAACCGCCTGGACAAGTCTCTGCAGTTTTCTTGGCAAGATTTTTCGAAAGTGGTTCTTTTAATTGCCTCCTTCCAAGGACTGAGATAGAGCGATTGGGCCAAGGTCACCCAGCTGGTTTTGTGTCTAAGGCAGGGCGAGAACTTACAGTCTTGCAATTTTTAGCCTGGTGCCTTAACTGCTGCTCCAAATGGATCTTAATTTTAGGTGGTGATGGTTCAAACATCACTTCACTTCACTTTCAAACATCTGAGTTCGCTGTTAAATAAGGTGGATGATTGGATACAGTTGGGTATATTTTATCCAAAAGCTGCATGACAACTTGCTCTGAGAAGATCTGGATGGTGGTACAGCTATGCATAGCACAGTAATTCTTCTAATACCTTGTAATTCTTTCTTTTTTTTTCCTTTCTGCCCTAAAGGTGAAAAAGAGCCACTGGTCTCTACTCCATGTCTTTCTGGTTTGTCTGTTGGCCTGTGCAATAACTACAGTGGTGGGGGTGTTGATTCTGTCTCTGGTTTATGTTAGCACCCCTGGTTTTAAAAGACAAGAGCATGAAACTTCCCAGCAAATTCCAATAACATCTGCCTACAAGAACCAGGTGGACCTCAAGTTCCAGTTTCTCCACCATCATACGAAATCCAAGGTATAACTAAACTATTCCTTCCATATTCGTTTTGCACAGGACAATTACTTGGGAATCTTAGTTTTTAAGGATTTTTATCCCTGGCTAAACTGCTATTCTTTGGTGAAATCTGGCTAAACTGCTATTCTTTGGTGAAATCTGGCTAAACTGCTATTCGTTGGTGAAACTCAAAGAATAGGTAGGTTCTTTAAACAAGGGCCTAGAAAAACTGAACCAGTCCCGGAACCAGCAAAATCTGGGGGCTGGGCAGGGGACAGAATGTATCTGCCCTCAGTGTGGAAGGGATTGCCACTCTCGAATTGGCCTTTTTAGTCACACTAGATGCTGTTTTAGGACCTCTTTCCAGAGCATGATACCATACTCTCTTGAGACTGAAGGATGTCAATGTGAGAAAAACTGAACAGCAAAAACTCGTGGATTAAAGCCAGGGCCATCACTGATCTGTAAGGCCTCTTTGTGCAGTTCCCCCCACACCGCCAGAATTGAATGAATGAACTGAAGAAGCTTCTTCAATGAGAAGCAAAACATTTTCAAAGAAAAAACAACCAAGGAAGTCCAGTTGCCTTGTGGAAAAGCATCTTTGGGACAACCATGTCCTGGATGATTGAGAATCTCCATAGACATGTTACCATCAGAGTATCAAGTCATGTCAGGGGGAAGCTGTGGCTTCCTGGCCCTTCATTCTCCATTTTTTTTTCCTACAGCACTTGTGCAGACATGTTTTATGTTTTGTTTTATGTTTTATTTGATTTGTATACCGCCCTACTCCCGAAGGACTCAGGGCGGTGAACAGCCACAAGATAAAAACGCATAAATACAAAATTTAAAAACAACAAAGAATAAAACCGAATTAAATAATTTGGCTGAAGATAGATTTAAAACACCCCAATAAATTAAAACCAATTTAAAATTTGTATTTTAAAAGGGAAAAAAGGGAAAAATTAGGCCAGGCCAGCCTGATGGAATAAAAAGGTTTTAAGAGCGCGGCAGAAGGTGCGTAGATCCGGGATCCTCCGTATTTCCAGGGAGAGCTCATTCCAGATAGTAGGTGCCCCCACAGAGAAGGCTCTCCCCCTGGGGGCCGCCAGTCGACATTGTTTGGCCAACAGCACTCAGAGGAGCCCCTTTCTATGAGAGCGTACCAGCTAGTGGGAGGCTACTGGTGGCAGCAGGCGGTCTCGTAGATAACCAGGTCCTAAACCATGGAGCGCTCTAAAGGTGGTAACCAAGACCTTGAAGTGCACATGGAAGACCACCGGGAGCCAGTGCAGCTCACGCAGGAGAGGTGTTACATGGGAACGACATGTAGTAAGTGGATGGGATTCTCTCCCCCCCCCCCCCCCCCCAGTCCTGGCACCTGCAATGTGGCACTAGGCTACTACTATTCCCATAATTTGGTGTCTTCTATGTCATGCATCTTTGTGCAGTACACAAGTATCACATCTGCTGTGGTAGTCCTTCCTGGTTGAAGGATCAATTCTGGATCTGTGTTTTATTGATGAACTCTCTAGCGCTGTATCTCTCGATCGTCACAGTTTGGGGATGCGTGGACTTCAGCTCCTGGAATTCCATAACCAGCATGTTGGTTGGGGAATTTGGAGAGCTGAAGTTCGCACATCTTCAATTTGCAAAGTTGGGAGACACCGTTTCAACATTGCTTTCAAACTTTTTTGGCACCAGCGACCAGTTTTGTAGAAGACAATTTTTCCATGGATCAGCGGGGGAAGGAAGAACACGCAACCTAGATCCAGTGGTGGAATTCAATTTTTTTTTACTGCCGGTTCTGTGGGCGTGGCTTGGTGGGCGTGGTGTGGTGTGGTGTGGCTTGGTGGGTGTGGCAGGGGAAGGATACTGCAAAATCTCCATTCCCACCCCACTCCAGGGGAAGGATACTGCAAAATCCCCATTCCCACCCCATTCTGGGGCTAGCCAGAGGTGGTATTTACAGGTTCTCCGAGCTACTTAAAATTTCCACTACCGCTGAATTTTACCCCTGCCTAGATCCCATGCATACAGAGTTTTACTCGCCCACTGCTCACTTCCAACTGTGCCACCCGGATTCTAATAGGCCACAGACCAGGACCAGTCTGAGATCCAGGGATTGAGGACCCCTACTCTAGTGTAATGTTCGTTGACTATTTCACAAATTTCAAACCTTAGTGAACTTTATCTGGAAGTGGGCACAAGCCTTTTCCCTTCCATTGCTTTTTTCTGGGTTGTAGACGTAGACAAAATTCTGTCTGAACAATTGCTGCTCCAGGCTGCCTAAAACTACAAAGATCAAAAGAGATTCACACTGTGGATCAGTTTGTTCAGGTTCGACGATTAAGATGTGTGTTTAAATAGTTGAGAAATTAAACAGGCATTATCTGATTAATTGGTATTAATCCACCAAGTAAATATCCTTTGATATCGAGAGGGAGCTAATCTTCATTGGATTTTTTTAAAGCTATTTATGAACTGTATCAAAACCATTAATATTGTCATGCATCTGCGACTTCCCAGATGCACCAATTTCCAGGAGGTGCGATTCAGTGGTCAAGATTTCGCAGAAATGGCGATGAATACCAGAACATGGAAGAAATGGCGTTTGGAACAAGCATCAATGCTCAGCGTTCCAAGATAATGTTTGGGACTCTTCTGATCAAAAGTGAAGGTTTGCGTGCTCCACACTGGCATTTCAATGCCAATGAACAAGGTTACCTCTTAAAGGTAATATTGAAAGTAATGTTTTAATTTACCTAATTATTTTTAAACAACTGGAGAGGGAGAGAAAAAATATAGTGGACGAGTGGAAGAAAAGTGCCTTGGTAGTACAGTGGTCTAAAGCACCCTGTTATTAAGACCAGCTGCCTGCAATTACTGCAGGTTCGAATCTCGCCAGGCTCAAGGTTGACTCAGCCTTCCATCCTTTCTAAGGTAGGTAAATTGAGGACCCAGTTTGTGGGGGCAATAAGCTGACTTTGTATAAATATACAAAAGAATGAAGGCTATTGCTTAGCACATTGTAAGCCGCCCTGAGTCTCCAGAGAAGGGCGGCATATAAATCAAATTTTTTTTAAAAAAAAGTGTTTACAGGTAGTCCTCAATTTATGATCATTGTGGAGCTCAAAATTTGTGTTGCTAAGCAAGACAAATGTTAAGTGAGCTTCACCTCATTTTACAACCTTTCTGACCCCAGCTGTTAAGTGAATCACTGTAGTTGTTAAGTTAGTAACACGGTTGTTAAATGAATCTGCCCCCCCCCCCCATAGACATTGCTTGTCAGAAGGTGATCAGTGACTTCTGGACACTGCAACTATCATAAATATGAGCCAGTTGCCAAAAGTATCTGAATTTTGATCATGGGTCCATGGGGATGTTGTAACGTCATAAGTGTGAAAAATGGTCATGTCACTTTTTTCAGTACTGTTGTAACTTTGAACAGTCACTAAATGAATGGTTGAAAGTTGAGGACTACCAGTATTGAAACATCTGTGCATAGACGTAAAGCAGGCGTCCCCAGCCTTTCTGGGTTGGCAGCCCGGAGCAGGGGGAGGGGGGAAAGAGGGGATGATTTTGTGGGAGGGGCAAGTGCATGTGTGCGGACGTGTGTGCGGACGCGCATACAAGCGACGTTCATGGCAACGCTTGTGCAAGTGGGGCCACAGGCACCTGGGACAAGGCTCGTACAAGTGGGGCTGTGCGCATGCGTGGAAGCGTGCACACTGGCCAGCCACTCACACGGCGGCCTGGTGGCGATTAGCCTGCAGCCTGATAGTGGGCCACAGCCCACAGGTTGGGGACCCCTGACATAGAGCATCTAATCCCTTCCATCCTCCCACCCCACCCCAAACAACAGGGCAAAATCCAATAGCAGAGATTATCTAGGCAGGCAGCATTTTCTCCAAAATCCCTATGAAATAATTATTGGGAGATCAATCTTATTTTTTTAACTCTTTTACCAAGATGTACCTAAAAAGAATTCAACAGCACTTTGGTAAATAATCTGCCAGGTTATGGGAACCAAGGATAAGTAATGGGACAACTTACAGTCAAGAGAAGAACTTGAGAACTTGTAAGAGACTGTTTGTGATGGAATGTAGTGAGGAAGTAGTTTCTTAGGAGTAAAGGGGTATATTCCAGAGGAGTAAGAGGCAACTCAGCCTGAATATCATGTGTGTGTGAGAGAGAGGTTGAAGACAGCTCCTCCTTAATTGTTCACAGAGTATATTATAGGTGCAGATAGAATCCTCAGCCTGGTAAGATTTTTGTCTAAAGGTGGGAAACAATATAGAACTCACCTTGGAAGAAACATCATGTGTTATTCTTGTTATTGGACCTGACACTGTGTGAAGAAAGCATGCACATTCAGACTTTCAAGATAGTTACTATAACCTTATAATAAAAGTAGCACCAATGTTCCTTACTCTGGTTTCCTAGTCTGGTCTACCATGAAAGCTGACTTCAATCTTGCAAATCTGAATATGCCTCTTCCATCTCTCCCTCCCCCCCTCCATGAGAATTAAGGAAAGTTTAGTCTGAGATGCTTTCTTGAAATTTATGCTCCAGACTTTATCTGACCGTGGTCTTGGTTGCAGCTCTTCCGCCTGATCCCCAAGGTTGTTCCTATTGCCCTTTATACACAATGATCTTTTTACGGAAATATAAATATATGTTTACTTAGATCAGTCTGAGATCAGAAATTTGCTCTCTCTAGATTGAGAGCAAAGTCTAAAATCCAGCTGAAATGCTTACGGGATTTCCTCTTCGCTGAGGAGGAAATGGACAGTTTTAGCAAGACTTTGGACTAACAATCAGCCTGAAAAAAACACAAGTCATGAGTCAGGACGTGGATTCACTTCCCTGTATTACAATCTCTGCACAAGAACTGGAGGTTGTCCATGACTTTGTGTACCTCAGCTCAACTATCTCTGACACACTCTCTTTAGATACTGAGCTGAATAAATGTATTGGTAAAGCGGCCACCACATTTTCCAGACTTACGAAGAGAGTATGGCTTAATAAGAAGCTGACGGAACATACAAAGATCCAGGTCTATAGCGCCTGTGTCCTGAGCACACTCTTGTACTGCAGTGAGTCTTGGACCCTTTACGCACAGCAGGGGAGAAAGTTGAACACTTTTCATATGCGCTGCCTCTGACGTATTCTTGGCAACACCTGGCAGGACAAAGTTCCAAATAGCACAGTCTTGGAACGTGCTGGAATTTCTAGCACGTATACACTATTGAAACAGTGACGTCTATGCTGCCTTGGGCATGTCATGAGAATGGCTGATGGTCGGATTCTGAAAGATCTCCTATATGGAGAATTAGTGCAGGGAAAGCGCCTGAGAGAGAGACCACAGCTGGGATATAAGGATATCTGCAAGAGGGACCTAAAGGCCCTGGGAATGGACATTAACAATTGGGAAACCTTGACCTCCGATCGTTCAGCTTGGTGGCTAAAGACGCAGCATGGCCTTCTCCAATTCGAAGAGACACTTGTTTGGCAGGCTGAGACAAAGAGGCAGTCCCGGAACCAGCAAAATCTGGGGGCTGGACAGGGGACAGAATGTATCTGCCCTCAGTGTGGAAGGGATTGCTGCTCTCGAATTGGCGTTTTTAGTCACACTAGATGCTGTTTTAGGACCTCTTTCCAGAGCACGATACCATACTCTCTTGAGACTGAAGGATGCCAATGAATGAGAAATTTGGTGCAGATGTTTTTCAAGCCAAATCAATTTCAGACTCTCATTTGCTGGGGTATTCTCTCCCCACATGATTTCCTAGTCAATTGTAATATTTTGTTTTGTTGCTGATGTGTTTCACAGGGAACTGCGTGGATTGGGGTAGTTGATGCTGGTGGAGATACAATATCTACATACAACGTCACGGCAGGACAGATTATTTTCTTCCCACGAAATACCTTGCATTGGATCAAGAATGTCGGTGTAGAAGAGTGTTTGTTCTTGTTGTTTTTTACAACCCATGAGGAACTTCAGACTATGGATCTTGATGATACATTTTTCTTGACACCGAAAGACATTGAGGCAAGATCTCTAAAGGTCTGTACAACTGGAATTCCAAATCCTATTTCCTCACAGATCCACAACTATTTTGACTGCCATTCTGAATATGTGCTGAATATCCTGCTTCCTGTATACCTATCCATTGCCAAATTCACATATCTTTCTGGGTAAGATGTAAAATAAGCAAGCAGACTTTGGCTGAAGCTAACCTTGAATATTTTTCTCCATGTCTTCCCTTCAAAAGGAGAAATCATTGAAATCTTGTAATTTAATATTTGTAAGAGAAGGAATGGCAGAACCTGGAGGTGGAGTCAAAAGAGGAATCACCCTAGAGCAGTGATGGTTAACCTTTTCCAGATCGAGTGCCCAAAGTGCGTGTACCTGCCTAAATGTGCGTGCACCCGCCTGAACCCCCAAAATGGAATGCGCCCACGGCTTCTGCGCATGCACCCCACCCCCATGCATGTGCATGTGGTCCTCCCGCACACACCCCACCCCTGTGCATGTGCACACATCCCCAGCACGTGTCCCACCCCTATGTATGTGCGCGCGCCCCCCTCCCACATGCACCCTGCCTCCAGCGCATGGGCGACAGATCAGCTGGCTGGCAGGAGGTGCGCAAACATGCGCGACAGAGCTGAACTGGGCTGATGGCTCGCGTGTCCACAGAGAGGGTGCTATGTGCCACCTCTGGCACGCTTGCCATAGATTTGCCATCATGGGCCTAGAGTCTCTTAAGTAGCCACAAATGGACTACGTCTAACCCCTGCTGAATTCTTAGTTGAGCCTTATCTAGTGTCAAAATAATGCTAACCATTACTTGAGTAGATTTCTGTGCACAGGCATGAGTAGTAATAAATCATTTAACTGGAATGTCATTAGCCGCCCTGAGTCTTCGGAGAGGGGCGGCATATAAATTGAATTAATTAAATGTGTGGTCTTGATCTTAGGCACTTAACAATCTTCTGCATTTGGCTCATTACCACTCACCTCTTTGTAAGCAAAAAGTAACTCTATTGGATGAAGTCATTGCCATTCCTACCTGGATCCATTCAATACAATATTTATTTGTGTTTTCTAGCCTGAAGGTGGTATGGATTTCATCCGATCATTCCAGAAACAAGCAGAAGACCAAGCCGTCAATCTTCCACCTAACCTAGCGGAGCTTGTTCAGAATACCAACTACAACCAGTCAGCAGATATGCTTGTATGGCGGTACTTCTTTGACTTAAAAGGTACTACAGAGCCAGCTAGGGGGACATATAGAAGAGAACCATTTTTGCCTTATAAGACTTTTGGGTTTTTAATGCAGCAAAGGGTGGTGACATCATCACGTTTTCATACAGTGGATTTCCAAAATCAGATACAGAAATGTTTACCCTGGAAATAATATAGGAGTGTGATGGAATGTAGTCCAGAAGGTTCTTTCCCAGGGAGAAAAGAGACAATAAACTTGGAATCTTTGGTATGCAGGAAAAGGGTGAAGAACCACCCTCCCTTCCCGAGCAGTTCTTAGGGTGTATCTAATAGCAATGCAAATAAGTGTTTAGTCTGGCAAGATTTCTGTCTATAGGCAAGCAACAATAAAGAAACTATTCAGAAGTTACTTCTCTTGTTATTCTCGGTTTCTTGGGTCTGAAAAGGAGTCTCTAACTACATGGATCAACAGCCTGAGAGAATGCCTTCTCCCATATAAGCTACACAACAGTTGCAATCATCATCAGAAACTCTCCCGGTTGTGTAATATCCTACAGATAGTATTTTGGCATTGGCTAAGAAGACCTTTTCTTGCTTGCTCCAATAAAGCATGCACTGATATTGCTACAGAATAAAAGAGTTGGAAAGGACCTTGGGGGTCTTCTAGTCCAACCCCCTGCTCAGGCAGGAAACCCCATAACCATTTCAGACAAATGGTTGTTCAATCTTTTCTTAAAAACTTCCCGTGATGGAGCACCCACAGCTTCTGGAGGCAAGTCGTTCCGCTGATTCATTGTTCTCACTGTCAGGAAATTTCTCCTAAGTTCTAGGTTGCTTCTCTCCTTGATTAGTTTCCACCCTTTACTTCTTGTCCTGCCTTCAAGTGCATTGGAGAATAGGTTGACAACCAAACATCCCACCAGATCAGGTCCATGTTGAAACTTGTTTGTTATGACATTTGCAGATTTTGCATTATTTAGGTCCTAGATGTTTGCAAAAAAATAATAATCTTTTGTGAGCAGAAGTACCAACTTGATACTGGTACTATAGACATGATAGCTCCCAATACTATAATTCTGGTCTGCCCAAAAAAAAATGTGAAACAAAATCAAGTGAACTTTCTTACTTTTAAGTTGAACAATTTAATCAAACACTTTTAAAATATAAATTTATAATTTATTGACCAATGGGCTTCAATAGAGTTAACACTCCATTGGTAGCACCCCTTTGGAGTATTGAGCTGATGATAAATCATCTTGCAGAGAATCCTATCTTCATTGCTGTAATCATCAACACCTAATTGATGTCACATAATCACTCAATCAAAACAAAGACTTCCTGCAGGCAGAAAAGGTTTTGGGATTACTGTAGCATGCATATTTTTTAAAAAAATTTGATTTATATGCCGCCCTTCTCTGAAGACTCAGGGCGGCTTACAATGTGTTAAATAATAGCCTTCATACTTTTGTATATTTATACAAAGTCAGTTTATTGCCCCCATAATCTGGGTCCTCATTTTACCTACCTTAGAAAGGATGGAAGGCTGAGTCAACCTTGATATAATAAAAGTTCAGCATGCCCGCTACACAACGTGTAAAACATTCGCTCTCCATTAATCAAAAATAATACTACATAAAATAATGGAGCTAATACAGTATAAAGCCCTTGATCATCACTCAGGAGCCTACCAATTTTTCTACTATGTTTATTTTCAATTCAGGATCTTCCAAATTCCAGTTTCCAGGAGGAGTCATCCAGTGGGCTCGATATATAAAAGACGGGAATGGCTTAAAACCCAATGAAAAAATTTACAGTGAATTTCTCCATTCGGTAAGCATCCTGATAAAAATTGCAATCTTACTCTGGAAACTAGTTGGGGCAGTCATTATCTTTTTTAAATTTTATTTTGGGGGCGGGAGGAGGTGTCATTAAAAACTCCTATAAAATGTGAGTTTATATATGTATCCATTTGCAATATTGGAAATTATTCCACTCTTCCACCATTTATGGACTAAATCAGGGGTGAAATTCAGCAGGTTCCGACAGGTTCTGGAGAACCAGTAGTGGAAATTTTGACTAGTTCAGAGAACCGGTAGCGGAAATTTTGAGTAGTTGGGAGAACTGGCAAATACCACCTCTGGCTGGCCCCAGAGTGGGGTGGGAATGGAGATTTTGCAATATCCTTCCCCTGCTGCCCAGCAAGCCATGCCCATTAAGCCACACCATGCCCACCAAGCCACGCCCACCGAACCAGTAGTAAAAAAATTTGGATTTCACCACTGGACTAAATAAATAATTCACTCCAGACTCCAAGGTATACATTAAAACATCTGCGGTAAATACAGTGATCCACAATCAATTAAAATTTAAAAGCAAATAACGATAAGAAGGATGCCGTCACAATTTCCCCATTGCTACTGTTGTGTATGTGCAAACTGTGTTTCTTCTTTTCAGAAGGAAGATGCTCTTACTTTAGCAACACTCCGGATCTTCAGCAATGCTTTACGTCAGCCCCATTTCCATTTCAATGCCAATGAAATGGGCTACGTCATCAGTGGCTGCGGAAAGGTAATAACTTAAGTTTAACCACTGTGATGCAAGCCAACATTTCCCAAAGTTAAGAATTCTGGAAATTATATGGTAGTTGAAGAATGCCACATTGGAGTAGAACGGTGTAAGCTGCAGTATCTTCCCCAAAAAGATGTGTACTGAGTCTCACAGGTCCTGGATAAGCTTTATAAGTAACCGTCAACTTACAACCATTCATTTAGTGACCGCTCAAAGTTACCACAGCACTGAAAAAAGTGACTTAATGTTTTTCACATTTACGACCGTTTCAACATCCTCATGGTCACATGATCAAAACCTTAAGCTTGGCAACTAGTTCCTAATTATGTTGGCTGCAGGATCCCAGGGTCATGTGGACATCTTTTGCAAACTTCTGACAAGCCGAGTCAATGGGGAAGCCAGATTCACTAACAACTGTTTTACTACCGTGTTTCCCCGAAAATAAAACCCTGTCTTACATTTTTAAACCCTAAAATAAGCGCTTGGCCTTATTGCCATGCACTCAAAAGCCCGATTGGGCTTATTATCAGGGGATGTCTTATTTTGGGGGAAACAGGGTACGTTAACAACTGCAGTGATTTACCTAACATCTGTGGCAGTGGTGGGTTGCTACCGGTTTGCCCCAGATTGGGTGAACCGGTAGCGGCGGCGGGAGGCTCCGCCCACCCGCCCAGATGTCTCTGCGCATGTGCAGAAGCTTCTGCACATGTGCAGAAGTGTCGTATGCGCACACAAGCGTGCACACGGCCACAAGTGAACCTGTAGCGGCGGGATTTGAACCCCACTCCTGATCTGTGGCAAGAAAGGTCGTAAAATGGGGGGGAAACTGACTTAACAACTTCTCTTGCTTAGCAACAGAAATTTTGAGCCTAGTTGTGGTCGTAAATCGAGGACTATCTGTTTTTCAATTTCTGGTGAGGTAAAGTTGAGGAGGTAATAAAACAATCTATTGGCCCATGACAGATGGTACCATACAGGGGGTGAAATGTAAAATTTGTTACTACCAGTTCTGTAGACATGGCTTGGGGGGGGGGTTAATGTGACGGTGGGCGTGGCCAACTTTTGTTTTTTTAACTTTTCAAAGCATTTTTTCTAACTCTTTGAAAAGCCTCTGATGATCACGCGGCTCAGCTGGAATCGTCAGAGACTTTTCAAAGCATTTTTTTTAACCACCTCTTTGGCCAAGAGGTTGCAGAAAAAAATGCTTTGAAAAGCCTCTGACTATCCCATCTGAGCCACGCGATCATCAGAGGCTTTTTTTTTTACTTTTAAAATCATTTTTTCGTTGGATCGTGCAGCTCAACTGGACATGGGGGGGGGGCCTGCAGGGATTTTTGCTGCCGGTTCCCCGAACCATCCGCCACCATCGCTACCGGATCAGGCGATCCAGTCCGAACCGGGAGCATTTCACCCCTGGTACCATATCCATCAACTTCTTTCAAAGAATGAGATTATCCTTCCCGAATCATACGGCAGCTTTTCCTGATGCATTCATACAGCTTACTATTAATCAGGCGATTTGCTCATAAGAGGAGGCCACCAGTGGTTCACTGTGAATCAATCTGCAGATATAAGCCACCTAACATGTTAATTTTGTAATAAGGGTAGTCCTTGACTTACGATTACAATTAGGATTTGAATTTCCATCGGTAAGCAAGGTGGTTGTTAAGTGACTTATGCCTGATTATAATGAACTTTTTTCCATAGTTCTGAAGCAAATTAGTGCCGTTGTTAAGTGAATCACATGGTAGTTAAACGAATCTGGTGACCTCATTTGCTTGTCAGAATCTGGCAGGGAAGGTTGCAATAGTGAACCCATGATACTAGGATGCTTCAACCATTGAGCCATGGTGGCGCAGTAGTTAGAATGCAGTACTGCAGGCTACTTCTGCTGACTGCAGGCTGCCTGCAATTTGGCAGTTCAAATTCCTCCAGGCTCAAGGTTGACTCAGCTTTGCATCATTCCAAGGTGGGTAAAATGAGGACCCAGATTGTTTGGGGCAATATTGCTGACTCTAAAACCACTTAGGACTGAAAAAGCACTGTAAAGCGGTATATAAGTCTAAGTGCTATTGCTATTGTAAATACATGACAGTTGCCAAGCGTCGGTATTTCAATCACGTGACCCTGGATATGCTGTGATGGTCATAAGTATGAGGATCAGTTTTTTTCACTTTTTTCAGTGCCATTGTAACTTTGAACTCTCGCTAAAGAAATGATTGTAAGTCAAGGACTCCCTGTAGAATAGAATGAAACCAAGTTTCTGGAAATACAAGTATTAATTTGTTTCGGGGCATCTTATTTGCAGGTAGGTGTTATTGTTTCATCTACTGTTTCTACTGACTTTACCATTGAAGTTGGAGATGTTGTGTTCTTCCCAGTTGGAACCCAACACTACATCAAGAGCACATGTGATGAGGACCTGCTTCTCATTTTGGCATTTAGCACCAGCAACCAGGTAAGACATCTGTTTGAGTTCCTAGAAATTCTGCTATACATGCCAGCAGAAACCTACAAATTTCATTAGGCCTCTATATAATTAGGAACCAAATGCAAGTATTAAATGTTTGGGAAATTAAAATGAAACAAGTAATTTAGTAATATATTACTAAAATTGCTCTGTGCCCTTATCCATAATGCTGAACCTACCCTGGCTTCCTATGGCAACTTTTTGAGTTTTGCTGTTATTCCATAAGAACCTCAATAACTACTGACCAGAATGTCTGAGAAAACAGCTTCTCCCATACAGAGTTGCCTATTACCGTATTTTTCGGAGTATAAAACGCACCAGAGTATAAGACGCATCTTAGTTTTTGGGGAGGAAATTAAGAAAAAAGCTAATTGGCAGGTGGATCGGCCTCCCGGAATACCCCCAATCAGCTGTTCCCAGAGATGAATTTTCATAACAGGTTCCTTGGTTGTGAGCTCTGTGCCTTGCTTTTTTTTGCTTTTTTTTTCTGCCTCTGAAACTTCTGAAACTCTTGTTTCAGAAAAAAAAAAAATTCTGCCTCTGAAAGCCTCCGAAACAGAGCTTCAGAAAAAAAAGCCCCTGAAGCTCTGTTTGGGGGCTCCTTTTCTGAAGCTCTGTTTGGGGGCTCCTTTTCTGAAGCTCTGTTTGGGGGCTCCTTTTCTGAAGCTCTGTTTGGGGGCTTCCTTTCTGAAGCTTCGTTTCTAATGCTTTTTTCAGCCTCTGAAACCTCTGTTTGAGAAGCTGGGCGGGGCTACATTCGGAGTATAAGACACACCCAGATTTTAACCCTCTTTTTTTGGGGGGGAAAGGTGCGTCTTATACTCCGAAAAATACGGTAGTTGTTGATCAGCATTGATTGAATAATGCTTGATTGAATCACTCTCTGTTTTTTTTATTAAGAGCCCTGGTGGCACAGTGGTTAGAATATAGTATTGCAGGCAAACTCTGCCCATAGCCTGGAATTTGTTCCTGATGGGGCTTAAGGTTGACTCAGCCATCCATCCTTCCGAGGTTGGTAAAATGAGGAACCAGATTGTTCGGGGCAATATGCTGATATTGTAAACTGCCCAAAGAGTGCTGTAAAGCACTATGGGGTGAGATATCACTCTATGTACTATTGCTATTTGTCTGGATCTAGAAGGGTGTTTCAGATTCAGTTTCAAAACTATCAAGCCTCACCTTGATAAATCAGTAAATCAGTAGTCTCCAAACACTTAAACCATAGCTCATCTTCTCAAGCTGATTTGGCAAGTAAGTAAATAAGAGTTCAGCTCGATTAAGATCTTTAGGGAAGACAAAAATAGAAGTCTCACATATAAAAGCTGATTTCCCCCTGCAATGTAAAATGCCACAGATTTCTATATCTTCTCGAGGGATTAAATCCTAGGCTTCTTCTTCCTGCTGTCCTGAATTAACACAAAGGAGGTGAGCCATTTAGTAGCCTTGGGCATCTGTGATAGGGTTACCTATTGGTGTGCCCCTTGCCAAAGGAGGCTGTTGAAGAGCCAGATCTTCGCAGATCTTATAAGAAACAGGAGATTGGGAGCCATCCAGATCGTGGGGAGGATCTTATTCGAAAGGGCAGGCACACCTTCTCATAATATTACATAATATTGTGTTAGAAGAAATAACCTTCTGGGTTCAGCTCCAAGTAGGGAAAAAGACACTGGAAACATGGAGACTGCTTGGAAAGATGGTTAATAGTGGACAGGATCACATGGTTTGAGTTCCTGAAGAGAAAAGGGACCGAGACACAGTGAGTCCCCGGGTTTTATGCCCTCTCTGGCTTTGAACTTCCTGGGGCCCTGAAAGAGTATTCTGATTGGTTGTCAGACTACCAGGGGGTGGGGATCTTAGCTAGCCTTGCTGGCTGATGTTATCTTCCCAGGTGCCATGTGGTGGGTTTCTGTTGTTAGATGGGTCCTATTGTGTTAGTTTCTGTTGCTAGATGGATCCTATTGTGTTGCAGATGATGGTCCATTGACAAAGATTGAGTTTCTGCCTCTGGCCGATTGACAAAAGGTGGGGGCAGGAAGATGGGAGCTGCTTCGTCTTTAAAACATGCTTCTCCATTTCTCATCCAGGGAAACATAATATTCTGCTTTTTTAATATTTCCCAAAATATTTCATTCCTCTAGGAAAGGGGTGGGTGCGAACTTCCTACAATTGCATATTATTATTCACATGCTTACATAATATTACTTCGATGGTATATACCGTAAACATTGACACATACTTTGATGCCCCCAATCCATATGTTATTTGTTTGTTTGTTTGTTTTGGCAGTTGGAAACTCTAGATATGGATGACTATTTTCATGCAACAGCAGACCATATATTAGCACAGCTGTTCTTCAAAAAGCAAGCTGAATTTAAGAAGATCCCACGGTTGAAGGAGGATCAGGCAATTAATCTACCATAGCAGCTTATTCTTATTCTAGTTTTTCGATTTTAATTCTAATATATAAGCTACCTAGAGTTGCCTTTGCAACTGAGGTGGTACATCAGTTGATTAATTAAAAAAAATCAACAGCAGTAAAAGGACATCTCTATCCATTCTTTTTTTTAAGAATGCCAAAGGAACCTGTCATTTTCTAATCTTGTGGTTGACTTTTATAATATACTTCAAATAAAATAATTTAACAACTGATATGGGCATCCCATCTACATTTGTAACAGTGTTGGAAGGGACCTTGGAGGTCATCTAGTCCAACCCCCTGCTCACGCAGGAGACTTGTACTAGGGATTCGAACCGCCGAGTTGCCGACCTTTCTGATCGACAAGCTCAGTGTCTTAGTCACTGAGCCACCAAGTCAGGATATTGAATTTAGTAGCTGGAACAATGAAGTGTACAATAGACCAGAACACACAGTTGATTAGTTAGAGAGTGCTGAATCATGCGTGAGGCAATCTACGCTACGATTGGTTGCCGTAAGTAAAAAGGGGGAGTTTCTCTTTCTTCACGCCTTTTTCTTCTGTGAGTTCTACATACAGTTTTAGGTTTACCTCATGATGTTCCTGTCTCCCTGTCAACTATCTTGTGTTCTTCCTTTTCTGGATGATGACAAAGATTGCTGAAAATTTAAATGTTAAATATATTTCTATAAAAGACTATAAGTTTACGTCAGTGTCTCCTACTTCATCTGGACAGCTGCTGCACAATTCCTTGACCATTTGCACCTGCATAATCTCTATGTTTGGGCTATAAGTGAAGGCATTAGAACAAGGTTATCGACAGTTGCCAATCTCATAAAGTTCCAGCACATTTTAGGACCTCAATGGTCTTGGAAAAAAAACTAAGCAGGATCAAGCTTGCTTAGTATTTCTGACACTTCTAGGAAATTCTAGGGCAGTAGGCTAGACTCGGTAAAATATTCTGGGATATGGTATTAGCCAGTCACTTTCTTATTGTTGCTGAGAAAACTACATAAGTATATCCATAAAATTACCCGCAGTTAAGCTTGACTTAGGACATTTCTCTTTTTAGAAGAAAATAGGCACATATTATCTGTAATTTGCTATTGGTCATTCTCCCAGTGCTAGGCTAGATTCACTTTCTAAACCAGGGGTCTGCAACCTTAAACCCTCAAAGAGCCATTTGGACCCATTTCCCACAGAAAAGAAAACACCGGGAGCCACAAAACCCTACCCGTGCCTGACTATTTCTTGAGTGGCTACAAAACTAGCATACGTAGTTGAATTAAACATTTTGTTTTCTTCTGAAACTTTTCTTTTCTTGGATATATCCATGGTTGGCCTACCACGGGTTGAAAAGCTCAATAAATTGCGTGCCGGTGGGTGTCACACATTGGCAGTTGTGACACATATTTTGAGTGACAGGGAGTTCCAGCAGAGGGGTGAAAGAGCTGATCCTGTTCTAAACCTTCAAAGGCTAAGCTACCCTTATGCATTTTAAAGCATTTTGGTCCTCAGATCCAAACTATTGCAAAGCATAACTATATGTCTGGAATATATGGTTATATATGCCAATACAAACATACGCACACACAAGTATCTATATGTGGTTTTTGGATTTATGTAAGGAAGTACACACTATCAGAGTGTTAATCCTAGACACTGAATTCAGATATTGCTGTTTCTTCTGAAAGTCAACAGGAAGTTGGCTTCTTGTTGAGTTGCTCAATTCATGTGTGATAAAATGTTTATCAGTTGGAACTATACTGACAGTGCTATTGATTAATCTCTGGCAAGTAGAGAACAAAGTACTTTCCAGCAGATGTCTCTCTTTAGCTGCTTTTAAAAATATATGTTGTTTCACTTAAAGTTTTGCTGTATTTTTTTCTAAAAGAACTTGTGGTTCGCATGGTACGCTTAAGTCCTTTGGATACATTCACCCATCACTCAGAGAGCAAAACAAATATTGTTCCTATTCTCAAGTAGCTCAACAGGGATAACTGTTAACATTTTAAAAATATTCATTCAGGAAACTTTATAATAAAATCAAAAGCTATGTTGTCCCATTAAAAAAATCTGAAACCAGTTGTTGGGATGATAATAATATATAGGCAGATAAAAATGCCAAATCCAATCTAAAGAGCTGACTTACTATGTGACTGACCATAATAATTGTTTAGATTTATAAGGCCTCCAAATCATGGAGACTAATACCGTAGCACAAAAAAAAAACCCATGTAAACTTTTGAGTTCTCAATAATTCAAAGGATTGTAGGATCAACCAAGTCTCCAAAAAAAAAAAAAAAAAAAAACCAAAGAAGCCCAAATACTGCATTTTAATCTTATTGACTTCAGGTTCAACCAGGGTTGGGTTCTACTTACCTTTACTACCGGTTTGCAACGGGGCCACCCACACGTGCAGGCGTTGCTTGCACATGCCTATGCTTCTGCGCATGTGCAGAAGCGTCCTGATGATGTCAGGATCGGTGGGCGGAGCCTCCCACCAGTTTTACTACCGGTTCTTGCGAACCGGTCCAAACCAGGGGCAACCCACCACTGGGTTCAACACAATTTCAGTATGTAGGTTCAATATAGCATTTGTACTAGATCCTATATAATAGTGTCAGCTTTTGTTTCGTATTCAAGCAACCACAACCACAACAGTTTGATTCTTACACATACTAAGTCAAAACATACACATTGCATAACATAAAATAACTGAATTATAATGTTGGAAGGAAACACAAAGATCATTTAATCAGGCAAGAATCTTCTATGTGCAAAAATGGAAACACATCAATTCCCATAATGGAAGCGTGGATGAAACTGATGGTGTTAATGGAGATGGCAAAGCTGAACGGGTTTAGGACAATTTGCCATGGCCAAGTTGCTGCAGGACAAGAATTACACTATTATTATTATTATTATTATTATTATTATTATTATTATTATTAATATTATTAATATTAATATTTCTATGCCGCCCACTTTCCGAGGACTCTGGGCAGCTTACACCAAAGACAGTATACTAAAATAGCATATTGCCCCCAACAATCTAGGTTCTCATTTTACCCACCTCGGAAGGATGGAAGGCTGAGTCAACCTTGAGCCGGTGAGATTTGATCCGCTGATCTGCTGAACTAGCAGTCAGCTGAAGTAGCTGCAGTACTGCACTCTGTGCCACCTCGGCTCATTTACTAATATTGAAGAAATGGCGGAATAAAATAATTAAAGAAAGGATGCAAAAGGAGGGACAAAATAAAATGGGAATGACAAAAATTAAAACATTTTTTAAAATTATTTTAAACAATTAAATTGAATTGCTGAATTGTCCTGCAGCGAATTGGCCACAGCAAGTTGGCCATAGCAAGTTGGCTCATTCCAAAGCCGATTGCTTTAATTAAAGACAAGAACTGATCCATTTGGAAACTGTTTCTGGACTTTATGAGCAAAACAGAAAAGATGAAAAATTAATCTTAGCTTTGGTAAAGGTAAAGGTTCCCCTCGCACATATGGGCTAGTCACTCCCAACTCTAGGGGGCGGTGCTCATCTCCGTTTCAAAGCCGAAGAGCCAGCACTGTCCGAAGCCATCTCCGTGGTTATGTGGCCGGCATGACTAAATGCCAAAGGCGCACGGAACACTGTTACCTTCCCACCAAAGGTGATCCCTATTTTTCTACTTGCATTTTTTACGTGCTTTCGAACTGCTAGGTTGGCAGAAACTGGGACAAGTAACGGGAACTCACCCTGTTACACGGCACTAGGGATTCGAACCGCTGAACGGTGCCGACCTTTCGATCGACAAGCTCAGCGTCTTAGCCACTGAGCCACCGCATCCCTTTAGCTTTGGATAATTAGACTAATATTGTGGCTATAGAAATAGTTTGTGTCTATTAGAAATGTAAAGCAAAAAGTTGTGGTTGTAACTTTTTTGTACTCTTCTGCACTGAAAAAGTCAGAAATCACTGCTTTCCCCACCCCTTTTTTGGTTTCTATTATCTTTGTACTCTTTCCCATTTCTCTTCTCTCTTTCTTTTCTGATTTTTTGCCATTTGTTTTTTTATATCATAATAAACTTTAATAAATACCTTAAAAACATCATGTAGTCCTTTAAAAGGAATGAGTCCTTGACATTTATTTATTTATTTATTTATTATTAATTTAATTTGTATACCGCCCTTCTCCCAAAAGGGACTCAGGGCGGTGAACAGCCAAAATTAAAATACATACAATACAAAAGTTAAGATAATGAAAAGAGATTAAATAAATCGGCCTCCCAATTTAAAACCCCAAGTCTATAAAATTTAAAAAATCCCATTAAAAACCCTTTAGGCTAGGCCGGCTTGGTGGAATAAATAAGTCTTCAGGGCCTTACGGAAGGTATGGAGGTCCGGGATCAGTCGTATTCCAGGAGGTAGCTCATTCCACAGGGCGGGTGCCCCCACATTCAGGGAAGAGACTGCTTAAGGCACAGATGGTGTAGCTTTTCCCACCAAAGGACACAAAGATGAAACAGACACTTTTTCGCTTGCTTGTTGGTTTATGAAAATATTTGATTTTAATCCACTCGAGTGTGCTTAAACAAGCTAATACCTGGCAGCAGACATATACAGATAATTTTTTTCTAAATGTAAGCAAATAACTAGCACATAATCGTCAAAGTGTAGCAATATTAAAAACACAGGAGTAGCAGAGAGGAACTCTGGGAAGCAAATTATTTGTCCAATTACAAGTCTTATTGTGGTTTGTTTGCTTTTGGCTTAACATGATGAGTGAATTCTGGTTTGTGAACTCTGATTTGTAGTTTAGCAAAAAGATAACATTTTTTTTTTTTTTTTAGTATTTCTTCCCCCCCAAGGTTGTGGTACAGTATGTTTATGGTGTGATCATTGTTAGGAAATTGTTATTGCCCAACTGGTTGGTCACTTTATATGTGTATGACTTGGAATGTTTTTGGACTATGATTTTGCTTTTTCCCTAAAAGTAAAATATTATCAAAATCCAGTTTGTTTGTATGTGAACTGTTATTATCCACAATCATTCTCAGTTGCTTTCGTGTGTAAACTCCTACTCTGCTTAATAGCCCACAACATCGGTTATTAGCCAAGAATATCCTTAACAATCATATCAATGACATGGGACATTTTGGCCCAGCAGGAATGTTTTTGAGGATTAAAAAAAATAAATAAAGGTGGCACGGATTTACGACCACAATTGAGCCCCAAATCTCTGTT